GACAGCGCTCCGCTCCAGCTGGGCTCCCCCGCCTCGCGCGCCGGCTCCAGGGGCGGGGAGAGCGCTGCTGGGGGCTGCCTCTTAAAAGGGCGACGCCGCGGTCCGGAAGCGCCGCGCGGGGAGGCGGGCTTCTATCGTGTGCCGCGAGCCCGCCGGGACGCCCCGTTAAGAGAGAGTTAAAGGAGGCTGGCTCTTAAAAGGGCAACGCCGCCTCCGCCCCGCACGGGCTGCCGCGCTGAGGCTGGGAGCCCCGGGCGCTTCTTTAAAAGGGGAACAGCGTCGTTTGGGGCGGAGTGCGGAACTGGGAGGGGGCGGGGGGAGGCGGTCGGAGCGCGGGGCTGTCAACTCCGGCGTTTCCTCTCTCTGTCCTGACTGTCCGAAGCGACAGGTGGAATAGCAGCAGCGGCTGGGCCCTCAGGCCTCAGTTTACCCCCAGAAGTGGGGGTGATACCACGTTCGTGCTCGCGGCTCGTGACCCGCTCCACGTACCTCCCGAGCGGATCTTTCAGACTCCTTTACGCCTAGCAAGCCCGGTCCACGTCCGGTGTAGGCAGCCAAGGAGCACTGTGGACCTAGCTGGTGGCACCCCTTCTTCCCCCCGCCCCCAAGTTCCACGTGGGCTTCCGGGGCCTGCTGAAATCTCCCCAATTCCCTGTCCTCTTAGAGCCCCGAGTTAGGCTGCCCAGACCTTCTGGAGCTTCCGGGGCAGTACCACGTGCTGAGTTGGTTCTCCAGGCTCGCCTCCCACCTTAGTCCCGAGGTTTGCAACAGGTTCCAGGTCCCGCTTCTTGGGGTTTCCGACTCCCAGGTTTGGGCTTGATTTGGATTCAAGGGGCTACACTGAACGGTGGAGCGGCTCCGAGAGCTTGCCCCCTCTCGTATCCTCTCTGGGCCTCAGAGTCTGGGCGGTTGTTCCCTGCACCCCTTCCCATGTGAGGTGTGTCCTCCCTCGGGTCGGTGCTGAAGACCCCTCTCCAAGGTGCCTTCCCCCTCCTTCCCCGCCCCTCCTTTCTCTCCTCCTCATTCCCTCTCTATGAGGCTTTCTAGAATTTCTGGTTTTCTCCTCCTTGAATTCTACTTCCTGTGTTCCCGGAGTTGGGTGTGTGGACTGCCTGGATATCTCAATGAATGTGGGAGACTGCACCTTCACGAGTGTGTGTGGGGAGAGCACTGTGGTCCTGATGGGGTTCTGTGGGTGAACCACCCCTCCTGCCCCCGCAGGTGCGAGCCTGACTCCTGGCTTCTACTGTGTGGGGCAGGACCTCTGTGCCCTTCCAATTTCTCCTTCTCCACGGGAATCCTTAGCTGCCAGACACTACCTCTTTATGAAGAAGCTTCTCCCCAGCACTGCTGCCGGGCCACCACAGCCGCACAGAAGTCAAGTGGCTACCAGAGCTGAGTGTGCTGATTGACCTCTGGAATGACAGGGCTGTAACCCAGCCCCTGACTTTCATTCCTGAGGCCCAGGTGTGAGTCTGCCTCCAGCACGGGCCAACTGGATGCTTATTCCCAGGAACAGCCTGCCTTTTTACTTTCTGAGAAATTTCAAGGACATCAGAAGTTTGGAGTGGTTATTGCCTTCTGTGGGCTGATGGGGAAAAGACAACCACTCCTTCCCCATCCTGCTCCCAGGCCGGCCAGAGCCGGACTAGCACTGCAGCCTGCTGGGTTAAAATCCCCGAATTGTCTTTGGATGTTGAACTCTCTTCTCTCCCCTACTCTCTGGCTTTGCTGGCAAGACTGATCATACCAGTTACACCAAGGTGAATTATTCTTACAGATTCCAGGGAAGGCCGACCCAAAGCCTCCTTTAATCCTCTTTCTTGAACACACTCTGTATTTTTTCTGTTGCAGGTTAAACTTCTTTCTTCTTGCTTGGTTCCCAGTGGAGCGGAAAAACAACATGTCACTCTTTTCTATACTAAAGAATAAATGCACTTGAAACTCTTACTCAATTCTTCTCACCCTATATGTCTCCAAACTAAACAGTGCCAGATTCTTTAACCTGTCATCAATAAACCCTATTTATTATCTGGATTTACATAGTGTCTTTTGCCCTAAGAACTCAAAATGCTTTCAGATATAATTGAGCCTGATCTCCCTGGTGCCTGAGCCATTAAGAAACCATTAGTGTATTCCTGTTGCAGGCAACTAAATGGCCCCCTAGTGGCCTGAAAGTGAATATACTTCTCCAAGTGCCTCTCCCCTACTAAGGGTAAGCAGAGTCGGAGAAATCAGAGAATCAGGGCAACTTGGGGACGGAATGGGCCCAAAAGTTCATCTTTTGTAAATACCCCCACGGACCCTACAACCTCCTCCACAACACTCTCCAGCATCAGCTAACACACCCTCCACGATGGTGTACCTTACTGTCTGCTCCCTAAGGCAGCCTTTTCAGGCTTTGGAAAGTTCTGACCAATTAGAACAGCAGCTACATCCACGCCTTTATGATGTACTAGGCACCATACCAAATGCTTACATTCCTTGTTTCATTTGTCCGACAACAATCTATCAGGTAGGTAGTATTTATCTTCATTTCAGAGATGAAGAAACCGCCTCAAGATGGTTAAGCCACTTGCCCAAGGTCCTTTAGCTAGATAGAACTCAAATCTGAGTCCGACTCTAAGGCATTGGGTTCTGATCCCTGTTCTCCTCTGCCTCATAGGTGGAGCTGAACTTAGTCTCTGTAGTGGATGTTGTGGGGTACCACCCAGATCACCCTCAGGATGGAGGCACTCATTCCTCTAGCTGCCAGAGTGCTGGCTAGTGATGGCTCACAGCTGTCACTGTCCCTCAGAATTGCCCTCAGGTGCCAAAGAAGCTGCCTCTCTCTCCTGGCCGACAAGACCAATAAATAGGGCCACGCTGCAGCAAAACGCAGAGAGACATGTGCAGGGGCCTGCTAGGGAAAGAGGAGGACTGTCCTCCCAAGCAGCTGCAAAAGTAGCCAGTAAGTACTGGCAGGAGCCGGGAGAGAATGTATGGGCTGGATCAAGGGGGAGCTGAATATTAAGTTGAATATGGGAGAGTTTACTGATATGGGGAGCACTTGCCCGTGAAACAGGATTTAATACGCTGTCAAGGATCCTGAGAAGAGAAAGGCAGTGGCCCATCAGGTGAAATGGAAATCTCAGAACTACCATGGCAGAGGTAGAGGAAGGGTCCAAAAAGCTCAGAGAAGTGGGCATGCTTTGGCAGGTATTTTACATAAGGTCAGAAAGCCACTTAAGTTCTGCAGGAAGGCCCAGAAGATCCCAGAGGAAAGCAGGGGAATGCACTGGTGAGAAGCTCAGTTTTCGCTGTCCTCTGTAGGCCAGGGCTGAGAGCAAGAGGCCATTCAGAACTGGCTCCCTGAAAGCCATGCGGACGATGGGACCATGAAATAATAGGAGCCAGACGTTGGCACAACTATTGCATGAGCAGCCAGTTGGAGCGGCAGTGGGGGTCCTGACAGTGGACCTATGCAGAGATGGGCAGCCAGTGATGGCATTGCTCAACTTATGCCAGTGGTTCTCAGACTTTTTGTTCTCACGGTCACTTCACACTCTTGAAAATTGACATCTCCAAAGAGCTTTTGTTTATGTGGGTTATATGTATTGACACTTGCCATATTAGAAATAAGATCAAGAAATTTGTAAAATATTTATCCGTTCATTTAAGAAAATTAGCCCTTTATATGTTAACATAAATAGCATATTTTTATGAAAAATAGCTATATATATTTTTTTAAAGATTTTATTTTTTTCATTTTTCTCCCCAAAGCCCCCCAGTACATAGTTGTGTAGTCTTCGTTGTGGGTCCTTCTAGTTGTGGCATGTGGGACACTGCTTCAGCGTGGTTTGATGAGCAGTGCCATGTCCGCACCCAGGATTCGAACCAACGAAACACTGGGCCGCCTGCAGCGGAGCATGCGAACTTAACCACTCGGCCACGGGGCCAGCCCCAGAAAAATAGCTATATTTTATAAAACAAAAAAGTGAGTGCAAGACTGGCTTTTTTCACATTTTTGCAAATCTCTTGAATGTGGCTTTATAGAAGATAGCTGGATTCTCACATCTGCTTCTGTCAGCAATATGTTGTTTTACTTAAAATATATGAAGAAAATCCGGCCTCACTCAGATATGTAGTTGGAAAATTTTAATGATAAAAAATAATAAATAAAATAAAAATTTTAATAGCCTTTTCATATCATTGTGGGTATTTTTCTTCGCTACTACACCAAAACTCAACAAGTAGTATTTTCTTAAATGGTAGTTGTAAAGTAGAATATGAAACTTTGCCAATGAATTTTTTGTACTCAATCACATTAAAGTCTACTGGTCTATGGGGCTGGCCCAGTGGCACAGAGGTTAAGTTCACATGTTCCACTTCAGCAGCCTGGTTCCGGTTCCGGTTCTCCAGTTCCAATCCCAGGTGCAGACATGGCACTGCTTGGCAAGCCATGCTGAGGTAGGCGTCCCACATATAAAGTAGATGAAGATGGACATGGATGTTAGCTCAGGGCCAGTCTTCCTCAGCAAAAAGAAGAGGATTGGCAGCAGATGTTAGCTCAGGGCTAATCTTCCTCAAAAAAAAAAAAGTCTACTGGTCTACCTTGCACTATGAATGGTGAATGGCTGTTCTACCCCTGCATGATTTTGTAACATCCTCCCTTGGTCATTGAATTATACAGATCTTTCAAATATTGATATAATTCATTATACAATATTAAAAATCATATTTGGTAATATCATCAGAGAAAGCTCATGTAGTAGGAATCAGTCAAGGTCATGATAGTGCATATAAGTTTTCTAAAATTCTAATTTTCACTTGAAAGCTCAAAAATTTTTTTTTGCTTTTCTCCCCCAATTCCCCCAGTACACAGTTGTATATTTTAGTTGTGGGTCCTTCTAGTTGTGGCATGTGGGACGCCACCTCAGCATGGCCTGATGAGCCGTGCCGTGTCTGCGCCCAGGATCCAAACTGGCAAAACCTTGGGCCGCCGAAGCGGAGCGTGAAAACTTAACCACCCGGCCACGGGGCCAGCCACCACCCCCCCTTTTTTTTTTCGCTTAAAAGCTCAAATTTTATCATCGGCAATAAATACTATCAATTGTTTTCCTCAAAATGACAGGCTTACTTGGTTTGAATTTGAGAAAACGTGTGCCAGATAACCAAGTCTGAATAACCATAGTTTATCTGTCAGTTATTCTTTCAAATGAAAACGATGTGTCATGAAAAAAGTGACTAGTTTACCTTGTAACTCAATTGCACTAGTGCTTTTCCTTGAGAGCCATTATACTTCTGTGAACAGTACAGTACTTTCCATTTAATCACAGACAATATTAAAAAGACATTTAATTAAGGGTCATGATTTAATAAAATTTAACAATTTTTATTGCTCTGTTAAGGACATTCTTAAACAGAACTGACTCTTTTCTTTTTTTTCTTCCTTCCTTCCTTCCTCATCTCCCTCCTTCCTTCCTTCTCTTCCTTGTTTCTTTCTGTCACAATGAACTACCAGAGCAGGTAGGTGCCACTGCCTTGGTTTGTTAAGGTGCTAGAAGATTTATCCACCATCGATTTTGCACCACCAGTGCAAATGTCAACACAGTTAAAAAAACAAATAACATCTTAGTATTATTATGCTAATATTTTGAACTTGCACAACCCCTGAAATGGTCTCAGGAATCCCTGGAGATCTGCAGATCACACACAGAATTGCTGAGCTGTACAATGAAAAGAAATCAAGAATGAAAGACCAGGAGGTTAACGGCAGTTGCTCCAATAAACAATTATAATGTTTTGTCCAGTTTCCAGACCCAGTTCAATTTTTGGGCCCAGAACTGTTGTTGACTGAAGGAGAGGTCGGGTCCCCAGGAGGAAGTCTTCTGTAATACTATGGCAATACCATAATGATTTCCATACTCCTTCCCCAAAGGGTCATGTGACCATTTACTTGGGTCACTGAACACTGCGGAAAGTAGAATAACCAAACATTTTAAAGTCATGGAGTGTTTGGGTTGATATTGATATCTGGAGACCTGAATCATCATCATGGCCCCCCAATAGAGTGGCCCTAAGTAAAAATACATACAGGCTCATGGGCTGTAGCAAATGGCTTGATTAGTTGGTTAGAGGCCTTGAAAGAGAAACATTGGAAGATTGGGAACAAGAAGGTCTTGGGAAGAGGCACGTGGATGTATCTATGGGAGTGGGCACAAAGTGTGGTCTATATATTACACGTTAATGCCCACCAGAGAGCATCCACCATGGAGGAGACACTAAATAACCAAGTAGATAGAGTGACTTGGCTAGCTGATATTAGCCAGCCTCTGTCATTGACCACTTGTGCTGGCACAATGGCCATATGAATAAAGTGGCCATGTTGGCATAGATGGAGGTGACTTACAGGCATATTGTATACGGTGGCAGGGGTGGGTCCAACAGAATGGGCTCCCACACCAAGGCTGATCTGTTGTTGCTGCCAGATCTCCAATCTGCCACCAACCAATGGCCAAGCAGCCACTTGGTAATGAGTTGACTACATTAGACCTGTTCTACTCGGAAGGGTTGGTGACTCATCTTGACTTGAATCAGCATATATTCTGGATTTGGATTTCTCTTTCCCACTAAAGGCCTCAACCAGCACCACTCTCTGAGGACTTAAAGAATTTGATTCATTGACATGGGATCTCATACAACATCACATCAAACCAAGAGTCCCACTTTATAGCAAAAGAGTAGGCAAATGATCACGGAGTCTTGGGGGCCTATCATATACTTTGCTGTCCCCTGGTGAATAGAGCTGATAGAGTGAAAGAACAGCCTTTCCAAGGTGCAGCTGAAGCACCATTTTAGGGATGATGGGACACCACGCTCCGGGATGAAGAACGCACCCTATTCAACAGCTATAATATGGTGCTCTGGCCCAACAGGTAGAAAACAGAGGTCTAGGAAGCAAGGGGTTGAAGAAGGAGTAACCCCACTTACCATCACTCCTGGTGACCCTTTTGGGGGAATTTGCAGTTCCTGTTCTTACGGTTCCAGGCTCTCTGGGATTAGAGAATCTGGTCCCAGAGGCAGAACACTTCTGCCAGAGAACAGAACAAGAATCCCATAAACTTAAGTGTGGCTGCTTTCTGTCCTTCAGACTCCTTGTGCCAAGAGATCAGCAGGCAAAAAAAGGAGTCACTTCCTGGCAGGAGTACTTGATCTTGATCCTTTGGAGGAGATGGGGCTGTGACTACATAATGGGGTCAGGAAAGAATATGTCTGGCATGCAGGTGACCCACTAGGGTGTCTCTTGGTATTCATTTGCCCCATTTTGATAGTAAGTGAACAAATTCAACAGCATGGTTTGAGAAGGGCATGGTCATTAGGAGCTCAGACCCCTCAGGAAAGAGGATCTGAATGGGTAATGGGCTGGGGGCAATGCTGAATATCAGTTGTGACACCAAGACGCGCTATAGTAGTGGGGGCTATATTTCATCCTATCTACCTTCCTGTAAGTTTCCCAGAGAAAGACATCGCCAGAATTCTGGAGGAGCTCTTCCCAGGTAGAGTGAGCGTACCATATGAAGCAAGTAGGTCTGAGCCTTGCAAAAGGGGTACTGTTGTGGTTGCTATGGTGCACCACCCAGATCCTGCCTTTGAGACCACTAAGCTTATGCTTAAGTTGCCAGGACTGTTGGCTGCTGATGGCTCACAGCTGAGTCTCTCCCTGGGCATTTCCTTCAGCTGCCAAAGGCAGCTGCCTTGCTCGATTTCATGACCCCTCCCTAGGGATCATCTGCCTGGTCAACGTGGGGGTTCAAATCTCCAGCCCTCTTGCCTCAGTTGGGGCCAGATCTGAAGGGTCATCCCAACCTCAGAACTCCCAGTGGAGGCGTCCTTAGTTGTGCCTGCAGTGTTGATCAATTTCTTCCTCCACTCAATCCTGGTTCCTTCACTCCCTCAGATGTGTCATGTTGTTTCTGAGAGGACCTCCCAATAAACTTCCTGCCAGCAATCTCTGTCTCATAATATTTCATGAGAAACCTGACCTAAGGCAGTCACTTGTCACCTCAGACTCTAAATTTGGGACCCCAGAGAACAAGTCTCACACCTCTGAAGGTGGGCCTCCTGGCCACCTGTGTCTTCTATGGCTTGGTTCCCTCCACCAGTCCTCACAGTGTTACGTGCATCCTCCATCCTGGCCCCCCAACCAAATCTCCTCCAGTGTGTGCATTTCCTCAGGGTAAAACACCCTAAATCGAAGGCCCTGAATACATTAGGCATGGTCTGACATGTCAAGAATGAGGACGCGACTGTCTTCCTTGGTTCTAGGTCCTTGGCTGCACATTGGAACCAAGAGTGAAGCTCCTTGGAATTCCATACTCCTCACCTTCCTTCCCTTTTCCTCACCCACCCATCCCAGGTCCTGATTCAGAGGATCTGAGTGCAGCAAGGAATACGCAGTGTTACCACACCTTCCCAGGCAATTCTGACTGATATCAAGATGGAGAATCACTGGGCTCAGTACTCAACTTCAATTCAGCCACCTAAGAGTCTGTCCATTTTTTTGGCAGTCTTTTCATTTGCCTCACGTGGAGCTGGCTGTCAGTGAAAACCCTCAGTTTGATTCACACATGCTTCTGCTAAGCCGCCACCTCCCCACCCTGTCCTTGTACTGTCGGTACCTTGGAGCCAAGCCCGGATGGCTCCGTTAAGCCCTGTCTGTTTTACCTCGTGAGGTCCAGGCTGTTGCTCCAGCAGGTTAGGATGTTCGGGGATCCTGAGTGTGTCTCTCAACATATCCCCTGTCCTCACTGGCCTCCTGCTATTCACAAAGTTGAGGGGCTTGTTCGCTGTGGTTTTGCCCAGGTACTGATGAGAAGTGGTCCAGCGGCTGGCCCGGTGGTACAGCGGTTACGTGTGCACGTTCTGCTTCGGTGGCCCAGGGTTTGCTGGTTGGGATCCTGGGTGTGGATGTGGCACCGCGTGGCAAGCCATGCTGTGGCAGGCATCCCACATATAAAGTAGAGGAGGATAGGCACGGATGTTAGCTCAGGGCCAGTCTTCCTCAGCACAAAGAAGAGGATTGGCAGTAGATGTTAGCTCAGGGCTAATCTTCCTCAAAAAAAAAAAAAAAAAAAAAGAAGTGGTCCAGGACAAGAGTAAGGAGGGGAGCAGTGAATCAATTCTGAGGGCATTCCTTATGTGCAATGCACCATGCCAACCTGGAGAAGGGCATCATCTAACACCCTGTTCTACAGCTCTCATCTCTAGGTTTGTCATCTCTCAGAGGAAAGGCAGGAGATAAGAGTGACAAGTTGGCCCTTCTGATTGGAAAGAGAGAGATTTTTAGAGCTGGAAGGATTCTTAGAAATGACCAAAAGCTTAACACATGATGAGATGAGAGCTGTAGATGGCAGGAAAGAACTGGCTCCTACCCCAACAGGGTGTTCTTGGACACATTAATCATCTTCTCTGCCTCTGTTTATCTGTGAAATGGCCCAGTCCTCATAAGTGTGATGAAAATGAGTTAGATGATGCCCTTCTCCAGGTTGGCATGGTGCATTGCACATAAGGAATGCCCTCAGAATTGATTCACTGCTCCCCTCCTTACTCTTGTCCTGGACCACTTCTTTTTTTTTTTTTTTTTTTTTGAGGAAGATTAGCCCTCAGCTAACTTGCCAAGATCACACAGCTCACCTTTGCTCCGGTTAAGACTGAAATCTGGGTTTCTTGAGGATGAATCCAGTGTTCCCTCAGCTACACCTCTAGGTAAGTTTGATCCAAAATGGCACTTCAAAGGGAAACACACACAGGATTGATTCTTTTCCACTCTTAAGTCCCAGATATTTCCTTTGATGACTCCAGAAGGGCTTGCCACGGGAGGACAGGCAATGTCTTCCTCCTAGGCTCCTGCAGAGAACTCTTCAATGGCCTCTCCTCTCCTCCCTAAGGGATTAGAATCTCAGCACCTGCTACCCTTGTCCCTGCCTCCATTCACACTCAGCTCTCAGTACGCACAGGGTGGCTGGATCTGGAGCCACGGCTGGACATACAGCTGGACTGATGGACAGCTCCTGGTCCTCACTCTTGCCCTGGCCTCATCAGCTCTGGGGACTGTGGTGGTGCAATCATGGTAGGGGGATGGCACTTGTCCAGGATTTGACCACTTGTGCTCATGACTTCATGAGTTCAGGCCACTTGGGGGACAGCCTGCTTCAAGTCTACAACCAGTAGCACCCCTAACTCCGCCTGCTCTGGGAATGCGGGTCCAGTCCCGATCCACACAAACTGCTGAAACAAACAAAAACCACAACGATCCAGAGAGCAAGTTGGTGAAGGTGTGGAAAGAATAGCTTATGTACTGAGGAGGAAGTAATAATAAGAAACTGCATTTTTTCTGTCAGTGTCTGCTAACAAATAATAATAATAATAATGATACTGATGCGGGGTCGGTGAGCCGAGGAGTCGAAAGAAAGATTTCTTGGACTCTCAAGGTCTGGCAGTGGTGCTCTTTTATTTAGAGAATAGAATAGCATAGGGACAGGACCCATGGGCAGTGAAGAGCTGTTGCTGCTGCTGCATGGGGACAGGACCCATGGGCAGTCAGAGCTCCTGCTGCTGCCCTGAGTTGAGGGTTAGGGTTAAATTTATAAGGCATGGGTACGTGACTTATTTTTACTGGAAAAAGAAAAGATGATGTAAAAAGCCATTAAATGATTTTAGTGCAGATGAGGTCTGGTTATTGTGCGGTCATATAACTTTAGATATGAATCTGGTCATATAGATTGGCATGTAGGTGAGGATGCCCTGGGCTTCTCTCCCTGGGGCAGCCCCAATTCATACCATAAAAATCCACCAGGTCATATAGTTCGGCATGTAGGCCAGGTCACCTTGGGCTTCTCTACCTGGGGCAGCCTTAATCCACATCAATACTATTGAGCTCATGTGCAGGCACTGTATTAATACTTTACATCCAGTATATTATTAAATCCTTACAACATCCCTGTGAGGTGTTCTTATCCCCGTTTTACAAGTGAGAAAGTTGAGGCACAGGAAGGTTAAATATCATAAGATAAACCAGCTGGTAAGTGGCCAGGGTCACAGAGTACTGAGTGTGGCTCTCTGTGTCAGACTAGGAAACAGACACCAGAGGATGCAACGACTGAGCCATCTTCATTCCAAAAGTAAGCTAGCCATTGGCCCAAGATGCACAACAGGCCTCGGAGCTCTTGAACATCAGGAAAGTCATAGCATCAGATAAGAAATCTACCTAATCTGACTTCTCCTGTTTGGCTGGTTACTGGGTTACCGGAAGATCTGAGTTCCACTTCCACCGGTAAACTTCCCTGATGAACAGGCTGAGAAATCAAAGTACGAGGTCCCCGCACGAAGCTGCCAAGCGATTGAGTGTATTTGGGTCCTGCCTCCAGGGCTCCAGGCCCCCAGGAACTCCCTGGGAGGCAGCACCGTGTCGAATGTTAAGCTCTCACTGCAGCTCACCCATGCTAAACCCACCAGCAAACACGACTGCCAATCACAACCGAGACAGACTCACCAGTGACAGCCCTGAGGGTCTGCTTTTCCGGGATCCCCAGCCTTTCCGCAGGAGACACGTGCTATCCAGTGAGCCCAGCAGGGGGCACCCTCGCCCTTCTACCTCCTGCCCTGGGGGGTAAGATTGGCAGACGGCCTGGGGTGCCCTTCCCTCAGCTCAGCCCTCAGACACCGTTTTGCATACCTGGTCTTCATGTGACCTTCCTGATTTTCTCCATATCCACTCTACCATTGTTTATACGGTATTTTTCTTTGTCAATTCACATTTTTAAAAACAGAATTTTTTTTTTTTAAAGCCCATTGCCTGAAGCTTTTCCCAGCTCCCCCAGGGCGTGGATTTCCTGCATTCTGAGGATTGCTCTGCAGGATGTGGGAAGGAGAGTACAGGCCCCACTGAAGCTACAGTTGGGGGTCTCAAGACTTGGGTCCCAGCGATGCCATCACTGGGTAAATTTGGGTGAGGCTTTATTCTGTGGATTCAGAGCCTCAACCTTTAGAGCCGGAGACTGAAAGGACCAGACTAAGGAGCACTGAAATGCCTGCCTTCCTTGTGGCACCCCCATCGGGTGAAATGAGAAGCCTGTACCTTCCCCTCCCCGGGCTGATGAGGCTGACGAGAGGGAGGGACCAGGGCAGCTGCAGGTGACAGGTGCAGGGGCTTTCGGGGTCCGCAGGGATTTCCCTTGCAAAATCCATTCAAAGAGACAGAGAGGGAACCTGATCCCAGGGAGGGAATCGGAACTGCAGAGGCCCCCAGAGGGGCCCAAGGCTGGAGGGATGGGGGAGGAGAGGTGAGAGACAGCAGAGCCTGGAGGGAGCAGAGGGAGCAGAGAGGGCGTGGCAGCATGGAGGAGTCCCCAGCTGTTTTCCAGGCTCAGGCAGGCCTTGCTCCAGGCTCCACCCTAATGATCTTAGAATTGCTTTTCTGGGGGTTATTCTCGTGCTAGGAATCCCCTTAGCTCCGGCCCCCACGGGCCCCCAGACTGGCAGCAGAGGCAGTTCCAGGGCCTGGGTGAAGGTCTCACAGTCGTCCCACAGCGGGTAGCACAAAGGCCCATGGGGGGACCTGGGGCAGAAAGCCAGGCCCTGAGAGGGGAAGGAAGTAGTGGGCAGAGCTCCCTGCTCCCCCAGCTGGATTAAGAAGAGAGATAAGAGGGGCAGGTTGGGCAAGAGGAAGTGGGCTAGCTGAGCTGGGCTGGGACTGAGCTCCCTGGCCCCAGGCAGTGTTGGGGCCACGCACCCTGAGCAGGCACCTAGAGCTGAGGCCTCTCTGAGGGAGAGTGCCAGCAGCCCTCTTGCCCTAAGTATTGTCATCCCAGGCCCTGGGCACAGAGCAGAGGAGAGAAGCCTGGCAGGAGAGTCCAGTGGAGACTGGTGGCCAAGAGTTGCTCAGGGCAGCTGTGTGTGGAGTGGTGGCTGGTCAGTGGAGGTTCCAGGCCTCGGCCAGGCGCAGAGGACCAGCAGGAGAGAGTTAAGTGTGCGGCAGTGACGTGATTGCCTCACTTGCACCTCATTTTCATGGGGAGGAAGCATTGAGAAAGAGGAGCTGGGTGTTCAGCAAACTTTGCTTATTCAAAACACTCAATCCCAGCTGGGCCCTGCCCCACCCTCAGCTCCCACCTCCAGGGTGGTCCCAGCCTCACCAGCCTCTGGGAGACACCCCTGCGCTCTGGACCCCACCTCTATGGAGGTCCCTTCCCCTGGTGAGCTCCTTGCTCCCTCCCCTCAGTCCTGCCTGGGCAACAGTGTCCCCAGCAGGTCCCCCTATTGCTCCTTCTCCAGTCCCCCAGCCGCATCTGACCGGGACTACCCCTGGGACCGAGAGGCCCCTGCTCCAAGGAGACGGGCCGCATGACCCGCCTCTCTGTCCTGAAGAGCACAGAGAAGGAAGCCCCGAGCAGGAAGTGCTGAGGCACGAGGCACAGGGTGAGGGCGGGGGCTTCAAGGAGGGCAGCCTGGGCAGACACAGGAGCAGTGACCACAGCCCCCACTGCAGGCAGGCGGGAGGAGGCTGATTTAAAAGGCAGATGGGCCTCTGGCCGAAGCACTCAACTCTGCAGCCAGCCACTGCCACCTGTGGGCTCTAAGAGCACCCAGACTTCCGGACCTACTGGGGCGGGTGCCATGTGAGCCCAGCTTGGCTCCCCTCCTGCCTGCCCTCCTTCCTTCCCTCATCCTACGAGCCTGTGCCAGCGCAGCTTCTCCAAAGAGGGACGCTTGGTACCATGTCTCTGCTCAACTCTGTCCTGCTGCCCCGCAAGGTGAAAAGTTATCTAAGCCAAGGGGAGCGCTTCATCAAATGGGACGATGTGAGTGGGGCCGGGGCCGTGGGCTGCGGGGGAACTGGGGTGGTGGCCGAACTGCTAAGGGCTTTGCTAGGGTGAGTGGGTTGGTTTATGTCTGCCAGGATCCAGGCGCCGCTGGTATGGCTTGGCCAGGCAGCTGTCACAACTGCCTGGATAAACAAACCTAGGGGTGAGAATGTGTGCCCCCAGCATGTGTCCCTGTCCCTGGGCTGTGGGAGATAAGGCTCTGCGTCTGGATGTGAAAAGAGGGTGAGCTGCCTGGGTGGCCGTAGGAGGATGTTTTTTGGGGTCTGGGTCTGTCCTCCCCAAAGTCCCCAAGAAGAGCAGGGTTTGCTGCTCTAGGGTCTCAACGTTAGTGGGAGGAAAGTGCGCCCCAGAGCTGAGGCAGGGCCAGAAACAGAGGTGTACCAGGCCCCTACACCCAGCACAGACACCTGCTCTTGCCCCAGCAGGATGCCCAGACTGGAATCCTTCATCCTTCCCCATCTGGCCCTGGCCCTGGCCCAGGGAAGCCCTGTTCCCTCTTGGGCTTCTGTGGGGCAGCCACTACAGGGTCCTGGACCCCAAGTGAGAACTGATGGCTTCTGCTCCCAGGGGCCTGGGAGGGAATGGACTGACTTCTGCTTCTGCTAGCTGCTCTCAGCCTGGCTGCCTGACGTCTGCCTGTCTGCAGGGGAAGGGGGAAGTCACTTCTTTGCCCTAGATGTCTGTCTCCGCTCTGTCTGCTCCTTCCCAAACGGGGCCTGCTTCCCAGACTCTGGTCCTCCCAGACCCTAAAAATGTTGTGTTGCTGTGGGCCAGGGATTCTCTTGGGCTGGTGAGGAGAACCATATGGGGCTCCTCCTTCAGGGAGGGGAGGCTGCTGGGCTGGCGCACTGTGAGAGTCAGTTCTGGCTGGTCCCAGGAGGGGAACAGGAAGGCTCTGGTGGGGAGGGGAGAGGGCCCTTAGGGCTGGCTCATGCTCCAGGCAGGTGAGATGAAGAGGGCTCTCAGTCTGTGAATTAAGGCAGCCTGGGGCTCTGGCCCTTCGGTGCTGAGCTAAATTGAGTAATCTTGTTGCCATGACTATGGGGAGGGGGCTTTGGTGAGGAGCTTTCTGCTTTCCTAGGAGTGGTGTGGTTGTGCAGTATGGTGGTGGCACGTCCCAGGAGCCTGTGGAATGAGGGAAGTGGCTCAGAATGAAAAGTGAAGTGGCCTCTCTCAGTTCCTCTGGGAAGTGTGTGTAACCTGACTGGGCGGGGGGTCATTAGGGGTGGGGACATGCTCTGTGACGTTCTCTGCAAGCCAGCACCTGTATACCTGGCTGCCCGTTCCCCTCCCCAAGGCAGAACCCTGCGCCGATCCTGGATCCTGACTTCCAAGAGTAGGAATCTCTCAGGCCTAATCACAGGGCGCATTCACCTGTGAGACGGGCCTCTGCCCCAGGCCACCTCGGGCCTGGTTGGCAGATGACCTGGGTATGTCAAGCCACATTGAAGAAGCATGATACCCAGAACATAATGAACTCTGGGCTTCATTTTGTCTCCCACAGCGCCTTACAATGCATTTGGTGGGAGAAGCTCTCCTCCTGCCTGTGGAAAGAAACTCAGCCAGTCACAGGACATTCCATTTGCTCTTGGGGAACAGACAACCGTATGGTCATTTTTCCTCGCAAAACCCAGTCTTATTTCAGAAACTAGCTGTAATTCAACTCCAACCTTAATTTAGAATGACACCTTCTGCCCTCTTCCCTCTGGGAACAGCCTCCAGTGGGCTGCAGGCCCCCTGGAAAGGCCTGTGGTGGATTCCCTGCTCCTCCTCCAAGGCCTGCAAGGGACGGGGTGCAGGCTGGGAAAGGGGTATGAAAGTTCTAAACTGAACAGGTGCTCTCAGAAACCGGCTCACACACTCTGGGCTTGGCCAAAGGTTAAGGCTTATTCTTCCTCTGGTGCACAGTTTTGAGGATTCTCCCCCTGAGCCAGGGCTCTCTTTCTTAGGGTCCTCCTGCCATCTCTGTGTCAGGAGGTCACACAACTACCTCTTCAGCTCCTGCGAATCCAGTTACCACCTTCAGCTGCCTGTGGCTTTGGACTCTCTGCCCCTCTCTCCCAGAGGCCCACTCAGGACCCCAGCAAATACTCACGTGTCCATTGCCCCACTAGTCTCTGGGGTTTCTGGCTCGTCTAGCACCCTGGTGTCTCAGCCTCCAACAGTCAGCCCGTCTGTCACCTGCTTGGTTTCCTGGGCAGGAGTCACACCCAGACTGCTATGCTCCACAACTGCAGGGGTGGCTGAAGCTCTCCAAGGGCGGCTGAAAGCCCACACTAGGCTGCAGGTGAGGGGTCAGGCAGCCAGCCCTCCCCTGGGGTGGGAAGCGAACGGAGCTCACCACGCAGCTTTCTCCAAAATTAGCCTCCTCACAAGCATTGTCTTCATGCCACCTCTAACCACCCCTCTTCGGAGGACCTTTCTTGGGGCCATTTCCTTTGTAAATTCTGCATGTGGTTTGGTTTGGTGTGCAGCAACGACATGCCTTCTTGGAAACTTCAGGTTTAATATCTTGTTATAGATTCATACAAAGACCGTTAAAATAAAAGGTAGCTCTGAGCTCTGTGAGTGGAGTGGGAACTTAGAGGTGAGTGCATTCATCCCTCACTTGCTCCTTCAGCAACCACGGGGCACAGAGCCCATGGTCTAGGACAGGCTCCTTTCCGGGGAATCCACAAACCCCGGGGGATTTCCCAGATGGGCTTCTGGGTCTCAGAACCAGCCCCCACCCCACTGTCCCAGCATGTTTCAGGAAAGGCTTTTCTGAAGAAGTGAGGCTTCTTGACGGTATTTCAGGTGGAGGAGGGGTGGCTGCTTAGGCTTGGAGGTGGGGCCACACACAGCATCTATGGGACAGTCGATGGACGGGGTGGGGGCTGTCCACGGAGGGGAGGCCCAGGCACGCGGGAAGCCAGGTTGCAGCTGGATTGTGCCGGGCCTTGGACGCAGGCGCAGGAGTTGGGCTCTTGGCTCTCACTGTGTTGAGGCTCCCGGGGGTAGCATGGGGAGAGACATTCTACCCCTTCGGCTGAGTTGCGGCCCTTGAACACAGGGCAGGTCTGGGCCAAGACCCTGTTTGGGGTCTAGAGGGGAAACCCTCTTCTACTCCAGAAATGCCATCTCCAATCCTCTACCCCTCTCCACCCCTGTTCAGAGCTTCAGAGGTTTATGCCCAACCCTTAGCTCTGGAGAACAAAGGCAAATGCCTGTGGCCACCTGGGCTGCCACCTCCTAGCGAGATGGTGAGCTCCAAAACCCTCGCCTGAAGTCTCGGAGCTGGGAGCTGACTCCTTCTCTCTGCAGGAAACCACAACAGCCTCCCCGGTTATCCTCCGCGTGGATCCCAAGGGCTATTACTTATACTGGACGTATCAGAGTAAGGTGAGGCGGCCATACCTACTGGGAACCTGAGCTCCTGCTGATCCATTGAGTCAAAGCAACCTCTTGACTATGTGGGGGTGCAGGGGGGTAGAGGCGTGGAGTATAGAATGACTTGGAAGGGGGACTCTGGGGGATCTCCTGTGGGCGGGGCTATTTGCTTTGGAAGGGAGGATGCAGTCACTCCAACCGTGGCTGCCTCGGGCCCAGATGCTCCAGCCTTAGCCTGCCTTGGAGAGAGAGCGAGAGAGAAAGGAAAAAGAGCTGCTGCTGAAGGCTGGTTCTCGGGAGGAAGGGAGGTGGAGCCTGGGGAGAGTCCCGGATGGTGGAGGGCTGCCTGCAGGACGCAGTTGCAGCTCCGGGGTAACTTGAGTGGCCAGGGAAGGAACGGATGAGAGGAAGGGAGGAGGGTCACCATGCATAGGGAGAACCTGATCGTTGGGAGGGGAATGTTGGGGTCCGGGCGATCCCACACAGTCTTGGCATCAAGACAGGACAGTTGGCCAAGACGTGAGGGGGTATGGAAGCCCCCTCCTCCCTGCTCTTCGTTCCTGACCTGACTTTTGTGTCATATCCCTCCCTCCCCTCCAGGAGATGGAGTTTCTGGATATCACCAGCATCCGGGACACCCGCTTTGGGAAGTTTGCCAAGATACCCAAGGTGGGCCCAGTAGCAGCCCAGGCTCAGCATGGCCACCAGCTCCACAGGGCTGGAGCAGGAGTCCCTTCCGGGGCGGGGGTGAGAGGGGTGGGGAGCCTGGTCTCTGGAGCAAGGGGAAGGCTGCCTGGGCCAAGGAGGGGGCAGGGCTGCTCCCGGGCTTGCTGGGGCTTCAGTCCTAGGGCACAGCGAGCAGAGATGTTGCACAGCTAGCTCCTGCCCCTGGAGCACCCCAGGCTTTCTGGGAGGTTTGCTTGTACCCCACACTCCCTGATCGGTTTGCCTATATTTGCCTAATGCTGGTAGGAAAATTGCAGGAAGGCATTGATGGGAAGTAGGATTTTCTGACACTGGGAGCTAAGTATCTATCTTCAAATGAAAAATGGCAAACCAAATACGCAGGACTCCCAGGCCCCATGGCCTTGGTAAATCTCTTCCTATGGGCCTCTGCCTCACCGTCCCAGCCCCTGGAGTCAGGGATAGGAAGGTGCTGAGGCCTGTGGCTGTTAAGATGGGGATGGGATTCTGCCCCAGGGGGCCACAGTTCAAGTAGCTGAGAGGGAGGGACAGGGAGAGCCACAGTGGGCAGGGATGGGGGCACACCTCCGATCCTAACCATGTCACCACTTGCTGCAGAGCCAGAAGCTCCGGGATGTCTTCAACATGGACTTTCCTGACAATAACTTCCTGCTGAAGACACTCACTGTGGTGTCCGGACCCGACATGGTGGACCTCACCTTCCACAACTTCGTCTCCTACAAGGAGAACGTGGGCAAGGTGCGCACTGGGGGCGCCTGGCCTGGAGCTTGGCACTGAGATAGCCTGGTCTTCCTGAGAGACAGGCCTGGGCCACGGGGTGGTGGGGGCACCTTCGCGGTCAGGGGCCTGACTGCTGTGCTCTTGGGGCCTGCAGGACTGGGCTGAAGATGTACTGGCTCTGGTCAAGCACCCGCTGACGGCCAATGCCCCCCGCAGCACCTTCCTGGACAAGATGTGAGTGCCTGCCTCCCTGGCCCTAGCGTGTGGGGCTAAGGGTGCCAGCCTTGGGGCGTTGACAGGCTGCTTTCTAACCCACCAGCCTGGTCAAGCTCCAGATGCAGCTCAACTTGGAAGGGAAGATTCCTGTGAAGAAGTGAGTTTCCTCTACTCCCTCCCCGCACTTCTCTCCAGCTCCCCAGAGCCTTCCCTCTCCAGGCCTGACCCCTCTCCTTGTCTGGTGCCTTTCTCTGCTCCTTCAGTCTTTTCCAGATGTTTCCTGCTGACCGCAAGCGGGTGGAAGCTGCCCTCAGTGCCTGCCACCTCCCAAAAGGCAAGGTGAGTGGTTCCCCCGTCCCCAGCCCACCTCAGCATTCTCCTTCTCACCTGAGCTGGCTACAACCAGAGGGCAACTTACCCAGGCCTGGTGCAGGGTGAGGAGGGCAGGAATGACAGCACAGTCCCGGCCAACAGCCCGAAATGCCAGTTAACCCTGGAGCCACTGGTTTCTGATACCAGGCACAGAGACAGAACCAGGACAAGGGGGGCGAGGTGCTGAGTTCAGAGCAGGTTGGTCTGCACCCCCTACCCTTGGTGGTGGTGGGGCAGTGGTCAGTGTCCAGGGCAAGCAGCGGGGTGGGTGCCTTCTCATCTAGCCTTGGAATGGAAGTTGAAAGTGGATGGTTTCAGGTGCAAGCCTGGTGGTGCAGTAGTTAAATTTGCACGTTCTGCTTTGGTAGCCCAGGGTTCGCAGGTTTGAATCCCAGGCGCGGTCCTATGCACCGCTTGTCAAGCCATACTGTGGTAGGAGTCCCACATATAAAGTAGAGGAAGATGGGCATGGATGTTAGCTCAGGGCCAGTCTTTCTCTGCAAAAAAGAGGAGGATTGGCGGCAGATGTTAGCTCAGGGTTAATCTTCCTCAAAAAAAAAATTAAAGAAAAAAAAAGAAAGTGGATGTTTTCAGCCTGGAAGAGTGAGGCAAGGCTGGCAAGACCGGGAGGCAGTCTGCAGGGAGCTGAAGGCTGCAGAGACTAGTTTTGCAGCGGGGGAGGGAGAGGAACAGAACCAAGGGTGAAAGCTGTCAGGACACAGACTTCAGCACGACACGGAAAACATTTTTTCTTTCTTTTTAGTTAATTAATTTTTTATTACAAGTTATATGCGGGCTCACCCCATGAGATGCCTTATGTGAATTACAAAAAGGAGCCCTCTGGGCAGATGCAGCCCTGACCAGGGTTCATGCCTGGCCATGAGAGAGGATCTCAGCCCCCTGACCCCCTCGGCCAGTGCCTTTGTGTAGGGCACCACATGAACCTCACAGAGTCTTTTCTCCTGGTAGGAATTTGGAACATTATAAACAAATAAAACTAAGACCTCATTGAGCACATGTTCACCTGAATCCCGGGAGGAATACTTCCCCGACTGTCACAGCTCTCCATTGCTGCCGAGCCCTTGGTGCAGTCAGTCACAGGGGACGCAAGCATGGGGTTGGACAGAGGGTGGGAATGGGCTCCTGCTGAGGGCCCTACAGCCAGCACTGCTTGCTGCTGTCAGCACACATTCACCCTCCTTTTCTCCTGGCTCCTGAGCTCCCACCTTGGCTAAGCATCCTTGTTTATCAGCTCTCCTTGTGTCCCAGTAGGGGCCACTGACCAGCCTTTGCTTGCAGCTGAGAAGTCCGAGAGCCAGTCTTAGGGAGATCCTGTCTAGCTCTCCCACTGAGACCCTCTGCTGCAAACTAAGATAGATGTCAGCCTTTCTGTATGATCTTGGAAGACATTCCGTGGCTTCTTCTGGGATGGAATGCAAAGGCACAGAATCCCTGAATGCCACTAATCTACTTTCTATTTCTATTTATATAGATTTGCCTCTTCTGGACATTTTGTGTAAATGGAACGATGCAATATATGATCTTTGATGTCAGGCTTCATTCTCTTAGCATAATGTTTTCAAGGTTCATCCATGTCATAGCTTGTATCAGTATTTAATTCCTTTTTATTGCTGAATAATATTCCATCGCGTGGATATGCCACATTTTGCTTATCTGTTTGTCAGTTGATGGACATTTGGGTTGTTTCCACTTTTTGGCTGTTGTGAATAACACTGCTATGAACATTCGTGTACACGATTTTGTCTGGACATATGTTTTCAGTTCTCTTGGGTATATACCTAGGGGTGGAATCATTGGGTCATATGGTAACTCTACATTTAACATTTTGAGGACCTGCCAAACTGTTTTGCCAAGTCACTACACCATTTACCATGCCACCAGCATTGTATGAGAGTTCCAGTTTCTCCATATTCTCACCAACACTTGTTATTGTCTGTCTTTTTCTTATTTTAATCATCCTGTGAAGCAGTATCTCATGGTTCTGATTTGCATTTCTGTAATAACTAATGTTATCGAGCATCTTTTCATGTGCTCATTGGTTATTTGCATACGTTCTTTGGAGAAATGTCTATTCAAATCCATTGCCCATCTTTCAATTGGGTTGTCATTTTCCTGTTAAGTTATCCTTTATTGGATATCTGATTTGCAAATATTTTCTCTCATTCTTTGGGTTGTCTTTTCACTTTCTTCATGGTGTCTTTCAAAGCACGACAGTTTTTAATTTGGATGAACTCCAATTTATCTTTTTTGTTCTTGTTCCCCGTACTTTTTGGTGTCTCCAACTATTATTATTAAATTGTCTATTTCTCTCTTCAATCTTTTCAGTTTTTGCTTCACGCTTCTTGGGGCTCTGTTGTTAGGTGCATTGTTTGTATTCAAAATGCTTCTTTTTGAAAATTTATCCTCCACTTAAAAAAGAAAAAGATAGCCCACTGCTCTGGCAAGCAGCCCCATTTGCTTCTGACCTCTTTTCTCCTGGTTCTGGTCATTCTTTGTTATGATCCAGCCCCAGCCAAGAGACTGGCTGTTGTCCGGATTCAGGGGCAAAGCAAACCAGCTAAGCATGCTCTCTGCTCAGCAACCAGGGCCGTGAAAAGTGGGTGCTTGGGGTGTTCTTGAGGCTCTCCCTGGGCCCTCCCTCTGACCAGGCCCCCTTGTGCAGGGCTGGGCCTGGTTTGTGGTTCTTAACGCTGAGAAGGTGATGGCAGGAGTGTTCGGGTGACTCTCTATCCCCCCAGAATGACGCCATCAATCCTGAGGACTTCCCGGAATCCGTCTACAAGAGTTTCCTCATGAGCCTCTGTCCTCGGCCAGAAATAGATGAGATCTTCACTTCCTAGTGAGCTTCTTGGGCTGGGCTGGGCAGGGGGACAAGGTCATGGCTGCAATTTCCATCCACCATGCTGGCAATTAGGTGGCTTCACTGGAGAAGGGGGTTGTTTGAGCCCCAACCCCAGCCCAGGGAATATAGGCCTGTGCTCCTCTCTCTGGCCTGCAGCCATGCCAAGGCCAAACCCTACATGACCAAGGAGCACCTGGCCAAATTCATCAACCAGAAACAGCGGGATCCCCGCCTCAACTCCTTGCTGTTCCCGCCAGCTCGGCCTGACCAGGTGCAAGGCCTCATCGACAAGTATGAGCCCAGTGGCATCAACGTGCAGAGGGGTGAGGATGAAGGGAACCCCTCACCCTCCACGGGCCTGTCCTGCCCCAGCAGCTGGGCTGCGGCCCTGACAGCAATCCCCTGTCTCCCAGGCCAGTTGTCACCTGAAGGCATGGTGTGGTTTCTCTGTGGGCCGGAGAACAGTTTGCTGGTCCAGGACAAGCTGCTGCTCCACCATGACATGACACAGCCACTCAATCATTACTTCATCAATTCCTCACACAACACCTACCTGACAGGTGGGCCCTGAGAACTCTATTGCTGACCTCTCCTTTTATGGGGGCTGCTCCTGTTCCTTGAATCTCCCGCTGGGGTTGCCCGCGGGCTGCCAAGAGGACAGACTATGATGGAGTGGGTGGGAAGAGCTGACTGCCCTTGCGTGAAGCCGCTGACCTGCCCCCTCCCTCGACCTCAGCCGGTCAGTTCTCAGGCCTTTCCTCGGCTGAGATGTACCGCCAGGTGCTGCTGGCTGGCTGCCGCTGTGTGGAGCTGGACTGCTGGAAGGGGAAGACCCCCGACGAGGAGCCCATTATCACCCATGGCTTCACCATGACCACAGACATCTATTTCAAGGTGAGCCTCAGTGTGTGGAGGCTGGTGGCAGGGGCACTAGGGACGGGCCTGGGCCCCAAGCTTTCTGGGGCTGTAGGGAGTGAAACTAGAAAGGAGGAATGGCTGGGAGGCCTTGGACCATTGTGGGGACTAGAGAGGACCAGAGGAGACAGGGGGCCAACAGTGGCCCTCCAGCTGTATGTGTGTATTGAAACTGGGGGGTGGAGGAGGGTGCCATTGGCGGAGGGGAAGCCTGGAGCCCTGACCCCATCTACACTGAGTGCCTTTCTCCTCCAGGAGGCAATTGAAGCTATTGCAGAAAGTGCCTTTAAGACCTCCGCCTACCCTGTCATCCTGTCATTTGAAAACCACGTGGACTCGTGCGTATCCAGGCCCATTCAGCTACCTTCTCTACTCTGTCCCCGTCTCCTGCACAGCTGCCCTCCCCCCAACTTACCCTAGCCTCCAGCCATGCCCTGCAGCTCTCTACCATGTCTCAACACAATCTCTGTGGGACCCCAGGCTCTCTTGCCTGTGTCCCTGCCTCCCCAACCTCCTAGGCCCCTGATCTGGGTCATCAGAGGGCACAAAAGGATGGACAAAGGGTTGGAGCAGAGCTGCTGAGCCCCACCCTACTTCTGCTCCCTGCAGACCTCGCCAACAGGCCAAGATGGCTGAGTACTGCCGGACGATGTTTGGGGACATGCTGCTCACAGAGCCCCTGGAAAAGTTCCCAGTGAGTAGACTCTGCCCTGGAGCATCTGGGCCTTGGGGCTGGGACCCTGGGGCAGGGTGGAGGCCTGGTTAAGGAGGCAGATATTCTCAGAGGATGCTGGGGTTCATTTGGGAGGATCATGAGGCTGGGATCCTACCAGCTGCCACGTGTCCGGCACTGTGCTAGACTGCAGGGGGACATTAGTGACAAAGATGCAGTCGCAGCCCTCAGGTTGCTTACCCCCTCGTGGGGAGACAGACAAGTAACCAGACCATTACAACCAGTGGTTGCTATGGGAGGAGAGTCCTAATCTGGTCTTGGGGATCAGGGAAGGCTTCCTGGAGGAAGTGATGGCTAAGCCAAAACCTGAGGGAGAAACTGGATCTGTCTTGGTGAGAGTGGGAAAGGGTTCTAGGCAGGTGGCATAGGTGAGAGAGAACATCACTGTCTGAGGAACTGGGATACGCTGGGTCAGGCAGGGGTTTAGTGCACAAGGGGAGGTTGGTGAGAGGCTAGGCTGGAGAAGCAGGCAGGGGGCAGATAGAGCGTGGTTTAGTATGAAGGCACTTAGGCTACACTGTGAAGGTGAGGAGATGGTGCTGACACTCTCTCCTCTCCCACAGTTAAAACCAGGCATCCCCCTGCCCAGCCCTGAGGATCTCCGTGGCAAGATCCTCATCAAGAACAAGAAAAACCTGTTTTCCGGCCCAGCAGACCCCAGCAAGGAGCTGGATGGGGAGGCTGAGGGCAGCCCCCCACCCAGTGATCCTGTGGGTGGGGACACAGGTGAGTCATTCTGGGAAGAGTGGGGATGGCAGTGGGGCATCTGGAATGGGAGAGGGGCTGGACCTGGAGGGGATGTGCCAGGGAGCCGGGCTGGTGTGGGGCCCCCCTGCCCCAGTGCTCACAGCACTGTGTGTGGCAGTGTGGGCTGGTGAGGAAGGGACTGAGCTGGAGGAGGAGGTGGAAGAGGAGGAAGAGTCAGGAAGCCTGGACGAAGAAGAGATGAAGAAGATGCAGTCAGATGAGGTGAGTAGGGACAGCCCCAAGGCCCTTCTGTCTCCACTGTAGAGCTTCCCAGGGTGGGGGGCGGTGTGTGGGGCCACATCCCTAGGCTCTGTACTGTCCTCCTCTTCCCCACCCTCCTTTCTCCTCCCTAGGGTACAGCGGGCCTAGAGGTGACAGCTTACGAGGAGATGTCCAGCCTTGTCAATTATATCCAGCCTACCAAGTTCATTTCCTTTGAGTTTTCTGCCCGTGAGTTAGCATGGGGTAGGACTGGGGGTGTGGGTAAGCTAGAAGTTAGGCTAGATTCAGGAGAAAGCCCTTAAGAAGTGTGTCTTGACACCAGAGCAGCTTGACGGGTGGGAGAAGGGGGGCGGTCTCCCCCTTCCTTGGACTCAGGGCTCTGTCTATAAATACCCAGCAGAGGAGTCAGGCAAAGGGCATACTGAAGTGGCAGTGGCTCCCAGTTTCCCGGCACTGAACTGAGGAACTTGGCACCAAGCAGAATGCTCTGGAATGTGTCCGTGACAGGCAGTTCACTTATGACAGGCCACCTCATCCTGGGTGGCCTGGGGCTCCTGCAGCCTCCTGCAGGTTCTGTGACTCCCAAGCTCAGAAGCCCCGGCCCCAGGGCATGAGAGCTCCTGGGAGGGGGTGGAAGGCAGAGAAACCAGCCAGTGCACATCTTTCCCTCGTACCCCTCCCTTTCTGTGCGCTGCCATGCTGTTTGCCTTCATCTTCTCCATGCATACGCACAGGGCAGTCCTCTCACCCTCTGTGTGTGTCCACAACATGAACACCTCTTTGTGTGTATGCTTGTGCACAGTGTATACCTCTGCAATGTTGCCTCTTCATCCCTGGCCCCATAGCCTGCACCCCGACCTGTGCCCACCCATGGCATGTACTGTCCTTGGTGTGTATCTCTCACCTCGTGCCCCCTGCTCATGTTCAGTCATAGCTTGCCCACTTCACTCTCTGCACATCACAGCATGTTCCTGACCCCCTGGGCTCCTCCTAGCAGGTTCTGCACACTCTCTGTGCCCCCACTCTCCAGGACTGTGGCACACACCCCATCCCGGTGCATATCCACTACATATACCCTTTACCCCCAGCGCACAGTTATCCACATAGATCTGCATGCGCCCCCTGCTGGGGTGGGCCCCCCTAAACCTCAGGCCTCAGTGGAAATGCTAGGTTGGAGGGATCTTTGTGCTGGAGGGAGCTGTCCCAGAGGGGACAGCAGGACTGAGGGAGGGGCCAGCCTGACATGGACTCACTTTCTCCTTTCTCTCCTCTACAGAGAAGAACCAAAGTTATGTCATCTCCTCCTTCACAGAGCTCAAGGCTTATGACCTGCTCTCCAAGGCCCCCGTACAGTTTGTGGAGTATCCTTGAGGCCTCAATAGCCAGGGGTCCTGGTTGGGATGGAGAGATGGGGAAGGCCTGGGGACAGGCTCGCAGGGGGGCTATTGGGTCCTCCTGGTGCATGCAGCCTCGGCCGACCTCCTATACTCTGGGGCAGCTACAACAAGCGCCAGATGAGCCGCATTTACCCCAAGGGCACCCGCATGGACTCCTCCAACTACATGCCCCAGATGTTCTGGAATGCTGGTTGCCAGATGGTCGCCCTCAACTTCCAGACGATGGGTGAGGGCACTCCCAGGCCTCTAAGAACCTTCCCTTGCCCCCTGCCCTCCTACCTTCACTCCATCACTGTGGGGGTCTTTAGAACAGACCAAGGTGTCCCGATGTTTGTTTAGGCTCTGGGAGCACATGCAGGTTTGTGAGCGTTTAGGGGTATAAATGCATTAGCTCATGCCTATAGGATTGCATGTAGACGAGTATGGACGTGAAGATGCCAGGGTGCTGGCATGGGTTCTGGCTGCTGTGCCTGAGTGGGACTGTGGGACCACCTGCTCCACTGGCCTCATCTCCCACTATGAGCCTGAAGTCTGGTGGTGCTTTGCTCCTGCTGACTCCAGGTCGTGGACTCTTCCTGAATGATGAGACACCCTAAGGAACCAGGCAGGAACATGAGCAACCCTCATCCTCACGGTCTGCCCAACCTCCCCATTCACAAGACAGGAAAGGCTGGGAAATGTGGAAATAGAGAGTGGGTGCAGACACAGGGCCAGGCTTCGCTCACTGAGTGCCCTTGCCCCCCCCAGACCTGCCCATGCAGCAGAACATGGCGCTGTTTGAGTTCAATGGCCAGAGTGGCTACCTCCTCAAGCATGAGTTCATGCGCCGGCAGGACAAGCAGTTCAACCCTTTCTCTGTGGATGGCATCGACGTGGTGGTGGCCACCACTCTTTCCATTACGGCAAGGCCCTGAGGCGGACAGGTGGCCGGGAGGGCTGGGGTCTTGAGGAGAAAGACACAAGGGCCCCATTCCTCCATTCCCAACCCCCTCCCCCGATATTCTGAAAACTTCAGCCCCAGCCAGTTTGTGCATAGCAAGTTGCCTTGGAAACTGCCTCCTCCTCAGCACTGGAGGCTGCCTCTTGGTCCCCATGGAAACCAAGGGGAAGGGCTGAGGTTGGGGTGGGGGAGGGGAGAAGAGTGGGCAGAGTAGGGCAGCAGGAGCCCCAGGCCCTGGGGGAGGGTGCTATTCCTTCCTTGCCTGGGTGGGAGGTGGGGAGGCCCACACCTCTTCCTTGAATGCTGGAAGCACACTGGTCACGGAGCTCAGCTGTAGCCCTCAGTGGCCAGAGCTGAATGAGGCTCTTCACAGTACCCGAGAATGGGTGTTTCAGCTAGAGGAGCTGGAGGCCCCAGGTGCTGGGGAGAGCCTGGGCGGGGGAGCTGATGCTGGCCTCCCATGGGCCCCCACCCTCAGGTGATCTCTGGGCAGTTCCTGTCAGAACGCAGTGTGCGCACCTATGTGGAAGTGGAGCTGTTTGGCCTTCCTGGGGACCCCAAGAGGCGCTATCGCACCAAGCTGTCACCCAGTACCAACTCCATCAATCCTGTCTGGAAGGAGGAGCCCTTTGTCTTTGAGAAGGTTTGGGGGGGTGGCTAGGGCAGGGTAGGGGTTGGGGTCTGTCTCTACTTCTTGGCTTCTACTTATAGAAAAGAGGAAATAAAGGGACTTCCTTGATCCCCCTCCTCTCCACACCCTCACCCTGTGCCCTCTGAGTTTCAAGAGTCCAAAAGCCAAGTTGACAGAAATTTACTTGGTGGGCAGGATTTGTCTGTGTGTGCATGTGTGTGCGCGCATGCGTGTTTATGTTGGGACTAGAGGCAGAAATGTGAACTCCCAGACCAGGGTGCGGGGTCCCATGGAATCATGGGGGTCTTTTGCCTCCATTGGATACTCACTGGCGAAGCTCCCAAGGGCCATCTGCGCCAGGATCCCAAGGCCCTGGGCTCTTTATCCAGCCCTCTGCCCTGTGTGAGACCAGCCACGGCCTGAACTGTGAGGGTGGCTCTGTGTGTGGCCTCGCGTGTGCCCTCTGTCCTCACCAAATCTGGGAGCATCTGTCATGTTCTTACACTGACCCTAAGACTTCTGGAGCCGGCGGAGGTGGTGGTGGGGGCAGTGTGGCCGCCCTCTCCCGTCCCCAGTTTGTCTTGTCCTGAACTCTCCGTAGATCTTGATGCCAGAGCTGGCCTCCCTCAGGGTGGCTGTGATGGAGGAAGGCAACAAGTTTCTTGGACACCGCATCATCCCCATCAATGCTCTGAATTCTGGTAAGGATAGGGGTCCTTCTTTGCTCTTCCCAGCAGGCCAGCATCAGGAGCCTGTCCTGGGGGCGGGGGGTGGAGGGCAGCTTTAGGGAGGTGGCCCTGAGACTTTACCTAACCCTCTTATGTTATCAGCCCTAAGGAGTGTGGCAGGAGTAGGACCTCTACAAGAAACGGATGGGGTGGGGCGGGGGTGGGTGGGTGACAGAGGCCCACCTAACAGATTGTCTGTAATTTCCTAGAACTACTGGGGCAGTTTCCCAAGTAGCTGACACTTACTGGGCATTTAAAATGAGTTAAGGGCTTATAACACATTCTCACTTAATCCTAACAATAACCACATGAGGTAGACACTATTCTCCCCATTTCACAACTGAGGAAAGTCTCAGAGATTTAAAGTAACCTGCCCAAGTTCACACAGCCAGGCAGGTGCAGGACCAGACTCAGATCTGGCCTCTCTGACTCTGAAGCCAGAAGTCTGGAGTACTGGGCTGCTCCTGTGCAGTGCTGGGAGGCAACGGGCTCTGGCTTACTGCCCACCCCATCATGCCCAACAGGATACCACCATCTATGCCTGCACAGCGAGAGCAACATGCCCCTCACCATGCCTGCACTCTTTGTCTTCCTGGAGATGAAGGACTATGTACCTGACACCTGGGCAGGTAGGAGGCCCCTGGCATGCTGGGAGCCCCAGGCTGTCCATTGCCCTCCCTCTTCCGCAAGCCAGCCTCCAAAGTGGGGAGGACAGGGTATCCTGGGATGAGGGTGGGGGAGGCTTCCAGGTATATCTCCATACCAGGCCCGTGATGCCTCTGTGCACCCAGATCTCACCGTGGCCCTCGCCAATCCCATCAAGTTCTTTAATGCCCAAGATAAGAAGTCTGTGAAGCTCAAGGAAGCCATGGGAGGTCTGCCTGAGGTCTGTGTTGCCTGGTCCCTTGCTAGGGGCCCCCAGGAGCTTTGCCCTCAAGTGGGAGGATGAGGGAGGGGGCGGAGTCCCCGCCTCAGAGATAGAGAGCTGTTGGAGCCACCTTCCCAACCCGCTCTCCCTGCACAGAAGCCCTTCCTGCCTGCGAATCCAGTTCCCAGCCAGGTCAACGGGGCACTGGCCCTAACGAGCAATGGGTCAGCAGGTATGCACTGCTGGGTCCTCCTACCTATTGGAAGGGGCTCGACCTCTCTGGCCGCACCCATAGGCACATCCCAGCTCTTTCAAAAAACTAAGACTTTGACCAGGGGAGGGAACAACTGCATCTGAAGCCTCAGCGCTGGGAGAGTGCGCTGCGGGGGCCCTTACTGCCACCCCAGGGGGCAAGGAGGAGCCCGGCAGAGCCAAGGGGCGCCCAGGCCCCTGAGAGCCCGTCCTGTGGCTCTTGCAGGAGCTGGGGCCAGGGCCAGGGAGGAGGTCACGAAAGAAGCTGCAGGTAAGTTCTGCTGAGCCCGAGGGATCTTGGGGACGCGCCTGGGGCGAGTCCAGGGCTCCTGGGAGCTCTTGGGCGGTGGCACGCCTCACCTCGGCCCCCGCAGAGCCACGGACCGTCAGCCTGGATGAGCTGCGGGAGCTGAAGGGCTTCGCGAAGCTGCAGCGGCGGCACGAGAAGGAGCTTCGGGAGCTGGAGCGGCGCGGCGTGCGGCGCTGGGAGGAGCTGTTGCAGAGGGGTGCGGTGCAGCGGGCCGGGCTCGGGTCGCCGGGCGCGGGGGGCGGCTGCACGGGCCGCAGGCTCGGCCCGGGCAAGGGCTCCCGCAAGAAGAGGTAAGGGCGGCGGCGGCGCTCGGCCCTCCGGGGCACGGGCGGCCCAGGGCTCAGGGCCTGTCCCCCGTGGCTTCCTCAGGAGCCTGCCAGGTGGAGAGGAGCCCACCGGGGCCGCCCCGGGCGAGGGCCCCGAAGGTGAGGACGCGCACGTGCAAGAGCTGCGGGACAGGCTGGAGTTGGAGCTGCTGCAGCTGGGCGAGGAGCACTACGATTGCATCCTGAAGCGCAAAGAGCAGCACGTGGCTGAGGTGCCAGGGTGGGGGAGGGGAGGAAACACAACGCAACCAACCCCTAACCCATCCCCTAACCCACCCCCGCACGACCAAGGACTGCCTTCTAAACCCATCCTTCCTCTCCCCGCAGCAAATCGCCAAGATGATGGAGCTGGCCAGAGAGAAACATGCGGCAGAGCTGAAGACCCTCAAGGAGACCTCAGAGATGTACGACTGCCTCCCACCCCCGCCTGACTCTCTCATCTCCCGGGAGGGCTTAGGCTCAGCAAAACATTGCCCTGATGCCTTTCTGTCTGCAGTGACATCAAAGAGATGAAGAAAAAGCTGGAGGCCAGGAGGCTGGAACGGATCCAGGCCATGATCAAGATCACCACGGACAAGATGGCCCAGGAGAGGTGAGCCCCAGAGGGGAGGCCCAGGGCTGCAGCACTGAGCAGGAACTGCTGCAAGTAGGAAGGGGCCTCCCTACAAGGGAATCCTGACTTGCTTCCCAGAGATGCACCTGTCCCCTGGCTCTTGAAAGTTAATCTCACTTGTGTCACCTCTGATCAGAGTGTCCTCCTTAGGCAAAACACATGCCAATACTATCTGAGCAGAGAGGAGAATTTAACAGAAAATCAAGCATGCAAAGAGGCAGGTGACACCCTGGAACACCTGCTTCCCACCTGTGCTTTCCCATGCATGCCTTGAAGGACAGTGCGTTTCAGAGAGGAATCCTTTCCATCAGAGGGCCCGGGGCTCAGTGGCCCCTCAGATGCTCCTTGGGTCCCCATGCCTACCCCTCTGGCTGACTCCTGCCCCGATAGCATATTTCTCATTTTGCCTACGCCTTGAGGAGTCTTCATCTCATCCAACTCTTCCCAGGGGTCTCCTGTTCTCTCTGAAACTCTGATCACCCCAACAGGTTGAAGAGAGAGGTTAACAACTCCCACATCCAGGAGGTGGTGCAGGTCATCAAGCAGGTGTGTAAGGGCTGTGTCCTTCCCAAACACACACACACACTCCCTCCCTCTCTCCATAGGAGAGAAGAGGTGGCCCCAGGCCTTTACCTTACTCTTAGGAGATGCGTTGGCCAGAGCATCCCAGTGCAGCTAGGGATGGGAGGAGGCAGCGCAGGAGATGGGGAGCCCCTAGGCGGTGGTTGGGATGCCAGCCTAAAGGGGTCTGTTCTGGCCAGCTGCCCTGGATGGAAACAATATGGGCTAGCTGGCTAGAGGAGGATGAGATTGGGGTGGGTGGGGAAGAGGGAGTGAGGGGGCTTCCTGAGCCTCCAAGGAGTCAGAAGAGGAAGGAAAGCCCTGCTGAGAACAGAGCTGAAGCTCCCCTGGGGATTATTAACAACAGTAACAGAGCTGCCATCCACTGCGTTTTGACCTTATGCAGGCGCTAAGCCAGGTGCTGCATGTGAACCGTCTTGTGTAATCCTTGCCAATCCAGCAAGCCGGGTGCTCTTAGCCTCGTTTCACAAATTTAAAAAAGCTGCTCAAAGGTTAAGGAATTTGTCCAAAGTCTTAGAGCTTGTTAACCGGGATTGTAGCTGGAATCCCGCCCAGGCTACCTGTCTGTGCTGTCCTGATTCCTGGCCTCTTGCTCCCACCCAGATGTCAGAGAACCTGGAGAGGGACCAGGAGAAGCTGGAGGAGAAGCAGGCAGCCTGCCTGGAACAGATCCGGGAGATGGAAAAGAAGGTGACAGGGACTCTACCCTGGTCCCCAGCAGACTTGGCCTAACTCGAGGGTGTAAAGGGGCCCAGGTCCAGGGAGCTGCCAGTCTGAAGGTTGCAGGAGGCGGACTCACCCCTCACCAGTGGGTCACAGGCTCTGGTTCCCATGGGGTCCTGAGGCCCTTTCAAATGAGGCAGCTCTGCAGATCCCTGCTTGGTTGGCACACTATCTCCTCAGAGACTCCCTGCTGGGCTCCACTACCCACCCTGCCTCCTAGTCTTCTGGAGCTCTGAACAGACCGGGCATCTCCTTGTTCCACTGTCCAGGGGAGGGAGAGTGGGCAGGTGGCCCCTCCTGAGCCAGGCAGTGGTCCTTGCTCTCCCCGCAGTTTCAGCAAGAGGCGCTGGCAGAGTACGAGACCAGGATGAAGGGCCTGGAGGCCAAGATGAAGGAGTCGGTGAGAGGCTGCCTCAGGGCCTGTTTCCCCTCAGAGGCAGAGGGCAAGCCTGAGAGGCCCTGTGGGGCCTCCGGGGAGCTGTGTGAGCAGGACCCACTTACAGCAGAGGCAGATACCGAGGAGAGCCGCCTCTGATGCCCTCATCCTGCTGGGACATTCTGCAAGGACGTTCTCCTGTGTCTGGGACGTGGCTCCATCCCCCCAGGAGGAAAGCCCCAGTACTCTAAGGCTGTGGGAAGCTGGGGTCCCTTGGATGCTGGTGCCCCTTCCTCAACAGCAGGGCTAAAGGAGGAGGCAGGAAGGAGCTACGACCGGGCAGGGGTCCATCTGGGGCCTAGAGGTCCTCTCCAAGCTGACTCCCTGCTCCTCATCCTTCTCCTTCACTTCTGATTCAGTGTCACATATTGCTTGAGGGCAAATGAATATGGACTGGGAGGCTGGAAATGGGGTTCTGGCCCCGTTCTGCCTTTCCTAGTGTGCAGCTAGTGGTGCCCCACTCTGGACTCAGTTTCCAAACCTGGAGGGTTAGGCCTGGCCACCTGGAACCTCCATTCTAGCACCTGTAGTTCAAGCAGGACCAAACTCCAAACCCCCTTGCCATAAAGTGGCGGCTCACCAGGCTTCTAGGCCCCATCTCAGGCCTGCCAGAGATGGTCAGCTCCTGGATACGGAGCCTACCACTACCTGCAGGCTCCATGGGGACCGTGGCTCCCAGGATCCCAGCTGAAGCCCCTTCCCTCGCCTCCTGCCTGTGGGGGATGGGAGGCTGACATGGAAAAGCTGCCTCAGCTGTCTGGCCCTCAGGCTGATGAGATGACTGGGGCTGTGGCTGGTGGTGAGGGGAGAAGCATGGCCTTTTGGGTACTCTCCCACCCAGAGCCTGGCTCACCCCTTTTCCTAGGCTTGGACGGGGTACTTCCTAGTATGTACCCCCGCATCAAGGTCAGCATCATTTTCTCTCCTGACTTCACAAGGTTTATTTATTTTTCTCCATCTTACTCCTACTAAAGAATCCTGTTCCGATATTTCCTGCCTAAGCCTGGCCTCTGTTCTACAAAGAAATGCCCCTGAAATGAAGCAGGCTGGGGGAGAAAACCCTTGAGAGCTGAACGCTGGGGTGAGGTCCCTTCCGGAGCCCAGTGGAATGGCCCTGCCTCTGGGCTTAACAAGGATTCACTTCCCCTTCTGTGGCCCTGATGCCACAACCACTGGAAAATGATGTCATCCCTCTTTTCCACTCCCCACCCAGATGTAGCTCTTCCTAGTCTCCACCCTCTGGGCTGGAGCAGAAGAGACTCATGCAAAGGTGGCCCCCACCCTCTTGGGGAGTCACAAAACTTCAGGCTTCCTGGGCCCTTTTAGGCACGCAGAGTGGTCAGATTCTCAGGCCCCTATGGCAGTCATGGTTGACCCCAACACTTGCTGTAGAGGGGCTTCTGGGCAGCCATTCTCTGCACCTATGACATGGTTCCAAATCCCAAATGGGGACAGGCACTGGCTTGGGAGAGGCAGGGCGGGGTTGATTCTGGGAAGAGGTTGTTTTCCCATCAGACATTTATGGCAAATGCCATTAGCCGTGAGCACCTGTGCCTTTGGAAAATAAACAGGAACCACCCCCATCCCTCTGGGGGCCTACCTCTGGGAACCCAGCAGTCCCTGGCTGCAGGGTGAGGCTAGGGGACGTGCTCATTCCTAGGAGTAAGGCCTGTCATTGACCAGCCTGCATACACGCTGGATACAGCTGAGGGTGAGACACCTCCACCCCAGGGCAGTGCCCTGTCTTCAACCATCCAGCTAGGCACTCAGCAGCCTCATCTTCCCCCCAACCCAGGGGTAGAACCAGGGAAGGATGAGGATCCAGGGTAGAGGAACTCCCTGACCTGGGCATGGGGGCCTAAGCCAGAGCCCGTGCCTAATAGGGCCCACCGGGCAGCCCCCAGCTTTTGCCAATGACTGATCAGGGGAAGGAGACTGCCTTTCCTGCGCCTCAGCCAGGCTGGGCAGAGTCTCTGAGCCCCCAGTCTGGAGCTGGGAAGCCAGGAATGGGGAAGGGGATGCAATCCTGCCTCCTGGAGAGGCTTCTGCAAAGCAGGCTGGGGGATTCCCCTGAGGCCAGGTCAAGATACCCAGCTCCCTGCTTTCTGTCCTCTGGAAAAAGGGCAAGGTGGCCCCTGGGGAAATGGCATCGTCTCTGGGCCCTGGAGTTGAATTAATCTCTGGCTGCAGGTGATGCCAGAGGAAATGATATCCTCCCTCAGGGCTCTGGGGCAGGTGAAGGGCACCTGGGTTCCATTCCTGCTTCGTATCTATGGGGCTGGGGCAAGGTTCCCTATCCACCCATCATGCCTCAGTTTCACCTTTTGCATAAAGGGTCCCTACCCCCTTTCCAATTCCACTGCTGATTCAGATACCAGAGTCCCCTGCTGACTCACCCCGCCCCCTGCACCTCCCCCACCTCAGCTCTCTGGATCTCCCAGCCACGTGCCACCAGGCCCAACCCTGCTGAGCTGGTGCAACGTGACAGGGTGAGGGGGCTGGTGACACTTGAAGAAAGAGGGGACCTGGAAGGGGGGGCAGCTGCAGACAGGGTGACAGACTGCAGACCTGACTCGCCTCTGGGAGGAAGCCCTTTTGCCAGCCTGGGGCCGGTAGGGGGAGAGGCTCCGCAGGTGGGAGAGGAGGGGCGTGCGGAGGGCCTGCCTGCCCCCTGGCTGTCAGGCTCCATCTCCTGTCAGCCTTCAGCTCCCTAAACGACAGCTTCTAATTCCGGCTGTTGGTGCCTCTGCGCTCTGCAGCAAAGTCTCAGCTTTTTTTCAGCTTTGCTATTTCTTTTCTGTTCAGAACATACTGAGCCCACAGGCAAGTCAGAGCAAAGGCTCCAGGGCCTGAGACCTGGCACCATCCCCCCATCCCACTACAGGCCTGGCTGGGTTGGCCATGCCAGCTGGGGCAAATGGAAGCGGCTGCTCCTTGCAAAGAGTACCTGGCTTGGTGCTCTCTGCCAGGCCAGGGCGATGCCCTGACGGGGACCTCCCCCAGCTCCTCTGCTTCCCTGGAGCTGTCTCCATCCACCGCAGAAAAAGGCCGTAAATGAGGCAGACTTGTCTCAAGGAGGAGGGGAAATGGCTCTTTAGGACCAAAGAGGTGCCCATTCCAGGTTCCTCCTGCTTCTCTCTTCCATCTAGGGGGTGTCACTGCCTGGCTTGTCGGACTGGCCTGCCACACATAGGTTCCAGGGGGCCCCCTTCCCCTTCCTCTGGAAACAGAGAAAAAGGGAAAGAAGCAATTTCATGCTGCAGAAAAGGGGAATTGAGTCATGAAGGAAAGAAAAGCCTTTCTTCTGCTATCTGAGTACATAGGGAGAGCATTCTTGCATCCTTACTGGGGTCGGAGAGACTATACCTGGCCCTGGGCGACACCTCAGGAGGTGTCCCCAGGTCTTGGGGGGATTGGGCTTCCTGCTTTCGGGATCACTGTGCGGCTTCCCCCCCCCCCCCCCCACCTCTCCAGCTTGCTCTTGTGTGAAGCAGGCAGGGCTAGTATTATCGGCTTCATTTTGCAGATGAGAATCTGCAGGCCTGCAGCCACTCTGCTAGTAAATGCCTCCAAGCTGGGACTTAACTCTGATGTCAAATACTGTGCCCTTTCTATGACGCTGTGAGAGAAAACTGGCAGAGTCCTGAGCAGGGGGATTAAAAAATGCAAAAAGATAAAAGGGGGGCTTCCCAGTGTGTGCAGGTACACGTCACATGCTTCCCCCAAGACAGGCGGAAGTGGAGCCCCTGCTCCCTGGCTGGGCCCTGGATGCCCCGGGGACTTCCCTGGAGCCTGGAGAGAGGCAAGAAGCCCAGGGTGCATGACCAGGTGCCAACTTTGCCACTTACCCTCCTGGGCCCAGTGGCTTGTTCCCAGAGGCTGACTTCTCTTCACCCCATACCTTTCCCCAGGCAGCCCCTGCTGCAAAGCTTCTTGTCACTGCTCTGCCCAGGTAGAGGACACCTTTATTCTTCCCTTAATTCCCTGTCTTTCATAGGAAAGGACCCTTTAAAGCAGCGCTCAACACTGTCCCCTAAAGGTGTTTTTCCTGCTTCTATGCCCTTGCCTCAGTAACCCCGTCTGGAATGTCTTCCTTATTTCTTAGCAGCCAGGTCGCACACATCCTTGAAGACCATCTCAGAAACCCTATCCTCAGAAGACCCCAGAGCCCTCCGCTCCCCACGACTCCATCTTTTCCTCTAAGGACTGTCTCGGTTTTGCATTTACCAGAGGCATTCAGCCCTCAGCTGATAACCTCCACTTCTTTGTCCCGGGCTTGTCGTCCTGCTGGTGAGCAGAGGTCTCTTCCATCCAGAATGGAACTTCTGCTTCTGTGTTGCCCACAGCTGGGAACATAATACCTGGCTCATGAAAAGTCTCAGTAAATTCTGTAGTTGTACCTGATTCACTTCGCACTTTGCAAATATCCATTCCAACCCTACTCACCCTCCCACCTCCCTGCGGCTCTGAGGCACCCTGACTTCAAGGCCTGCGCCCCCCTCCCCCCCGCCCCGGCCCCCAGCCGCCCCCAGGGGCGTGCAGCCGGCCAGAGGAACGTGAGATGCAGTGGTTTTTCCACACCCTATTGAATCGAGCTCTTTTCTCGTCCTTCCTCTCCGAAGGGGTCAGCTAGTGGCCAAGGTCAGAGCCTTGTGGTCTGGGGGTGGTTTTGTGCTCAAGAGGGAGACCGGACCGTGGGGGAGCCTTGCGTTATGTCCGCGCTCTTCCAGGGTGGCGGCCGGTCCCGAAGCGGCGTGGAGGTGGCGCCGGAGAGTTGGTAAGGCGGCTGCCGTGCTCCCGGATCTTAAGGCGCCCGCTCCACCTGCTTCTCAGCCGCCGGGGGCTGGCACGCGGGCGCGTTGTCGGGGTTGGAGACGTCTGAGATTGGAGAGCACGCTCTCCCCCCACCCCCGCTCGGAGTGAGTGTGTGCGGGAGGAACAATTGTGTGTGAGTGCGTGATTCGCTACACTTCGAGCGGCAGTTCCCAGCCAGACTGAGCGCCCCTCACCCCACGCGCCGCGCAGGTACCCCCTCCCCCAAATGACTCCCCGTCCGTCAGCCTTTCGCCGCCACCCCTAACTCGCTTATGGTCCAGTTCTGCCCTCATAGGGTCCCATTTCCTTCCACCAACACTGGTGGGGGCAGCCCTCGGTCTTCCCCGACGGGCCCGAGGTCCCGCCAGTTTCTAAGGAGCCTAGGGCAGCGACTCCGGTGGGGGCGGAGGGCGGGGAGAGAAGACTGTGACTTTGGGATTGGCTCGATCCAGTGCCTGTGGCCCCCAGTGAGCAGCCCCCACCCCCGCCCCGCAACCACCACCGCAGCCCCAGGGGAGCGCGGAGGAGGAGCCACACCCCGACATCGAGGCCCACGAAGGGGTGGGGGTCAGGGGGGTTCTCCCCCGCCCCGTCCGTTTCTGCCTGGACGGCTCAGCCTGCTTCCAGGGCAGCCATTGCCATGGAGACCCCCGAGGCTATAAAGCCAGGTATCCAGGCAGGCGGCGGCTCCCGCGCCGCTGAGCCCCCCAAGTAAGGAGCAAGCGCCCTGGCGTGGCCCGGCCCCCGCGAGAGGGAGGAGGCGGAGGAGCGGCGCCAGCTGCTTGAGGAGCGGCGCGCCCCGCCAGGGCTGGAGGCAGGCGCGCTCGGCGGGCGCCACCGTCTCAGCAGGGGAGTGGGCGCTGCCCCGTGCGCGGGCGAGCCGCGCGGCTCCAAGCCACGAGGGACTGAGGAGCGCCGGACGCAGAGAAAGCAGCAGGAGAGGCAGGCGGTGGCTGAGCTTCGTCTCCCGTCGTCTGGTGGCGGGCCAGGCGCGGAGCTCGGAGTAGCGAGCAACGTACACCTCCAGGCGGGAAGCCCAGGGAAGGAGCAGCGAGACGCCAGGCGTGCGGCCGAGGAGCTGCGGGACAGCGGGAGCAGCGCGAGGACAAGAGTGGGAAGCCCGGGACCCTCGGCCGCAGCCGCCCACGCGCAGAGGGAGCCATAGCAGAGCATCGGCGGGGGCCAGAGCCCCGCGGGGCGCGGGAACAGGGGCGCCCCCGTGCGGAGCTGCCGGGCCGCCTGGGCGCGGCGGCCAGGGCCATGCTGAAGCCCAAGGACCTGTGCCCCCGAGCGGGTACGCGCACCTTCCTGGAGGCTATGCAGGCGGGCAAAGTGCACCTGGCCCGCTTTGTGCTGGATGCGTTGGACCGCAGCATCATCGACTGTCGCGCAGAGCAGGGCCGCACGCCACTCATGGTGGCCGTGGGGCTGCCAGACCCCGCGCTGCGCGCGCGCTTTGTGCGGCTACTGCTGGAGCAGGGTGCGGCAGTGAACCTGCGGGATGAGCGCGGCCGCACGGCGCTCAGCCTGGCGTGTGAACGCGGCCACCTGGACGCCGTGCAGCTGCTGGTGCAGTTCAGCGGTGACCCCGAGGCGGCCGACTCTGCAGGCAACAGCCCGGTGATGTGGGCGGCGGCGTGCGGCCATGGGGCGGTGCTCGAGTTCCTGGTGCGCTCTTTCCGCCGCCTCGGCCTGCGCCTCGACCGCACCAACCGTGCGGGCCTCACGGCGCTGCAGCTGGCCGCCGCTCGCGGTCACGGGACCTGCGTGCAGGCGCTCACCGGGCCCTGGGGCCGCGCAGCCGCCGCCGCCGCGGCCCGGGGCTCCAACTCCGACAGCCCCCCGGGCCGTCCGGCTCCCGCGCCCAGCCCGGAGCGCCGACGACCCAGCCCCCGCCGCCTCCCACGGCCTCTCTTGGCGCGCTTTGCGCGAGCGGCCGGCGGCCATGGTCACGGCGGCGAGGCTGGCTCGGGGGGCAAGAGCTCGGGCCGGCACCGGGCGCAGGGCAGCGAGCGGCCCGAGCTGGGCCGGAGCATGAGCCTGGCTCTGGGTGCCATGACCGAGGAGGAGGCAGCTCGACTGCGGGCGGGAGCCCTGATGCCCCGACCAAATTCGCCCCAGTCTTCGGGGACTGGGCGGTGGCGTTCACAGGAGGTGCTGGAGGGAGCGCCCCCAACCTTAGTGCAAGCCCCCATCGGCCTTAGCCCCCACCCAGAGGGCGACCCCGGCTCTGGCCGCCTGGGTTTGCGCCGACGCTCCACAGCTCCAGACATCCCCAGCCTGGTTGGGGAGGCACCAGGGCCCGAGAGCAGCTCGGAGTTAGAGGCCAACGCTCTGCCCCACTCAGTGCCTGGGCTTCAGCCTCGGCAGGCTGGCACGGAGGCCGTGGTGCTGCACGCCCAGCGGTAAACAGCGTCGAGGCCAGCACTGCTCCCCCCGCCCCCCTTCCGTCTCTGCTACCCTGGGATTTCTCTCTTTCTTCCAGATCCCTCACTTTCCTGGCAGTTTCCTGCCCGTGATCCCAGAACCTGTCCCCACTGCCAAGGCGAGGTACCCTCTTTCTAAAAGGGACCCCTCTCTCAGTCTTTTTTTGTGCTTGTTGGTATTCCCCGCCTAAGTCTCTCATCTTCGCTGCAGCCTGCCTTTCCTGTCCTGGGAGGTGAGGAGCAGAAGACTGCTTCCATGGGCTACAGTCTTCCAGCCGGGAAGGTGGACCCTCTTCCCTAGGCCCTAAGGCTCAGTGCTGAGTCCTGCTGGCTCCCGCCCGGCCCCCTTACCCTTGCCAGGTTTCCCCATACCCTGGCAACCAGGCAGGTGGAACAGTGTCCCTGCCTTCCCCACCCCAGGTGATGCTGACAGTAATGCCACACACGACCTAAGAGACTTTCTGGACGGGAGGGCTGATTAGGAAGGAATCTGGAGGTTAAATTTTTGGGGGGAGAAATTGCCTCAAGACAAAGCATATTTTGGGGGTGGCAGAGCCTCCGGTGTTGAACACCAGTTGCCCCTTGAACCAGGTTCTGGGGTAATTCCTGCTCCCTCTTGTCTCTGCCCCAGGCCTACCCAGGATTCACCTTCATTGACAATCGGGGGTCACTACCCCAACCCAACCTCTGCCTGGCCCCTCTCTGGGCTCTGAGCCAGCCTGTTCTTCAGCTCCGCTCCATTTGAGTTCCATCTTTGGGGTCTCACCCCTCACAGCCTAGCCTTATTTCCTCTCACTCTCAGAGGCCTGAAATGGAAAGGACTTAGCACTTCCCCCGCCCCCACCGCCTCCCAGCTCCCCGGTCCCGCACGTGGGTGCTCCCGCAGGTTGGAACGGTTGCGAAGGCTTTGCTTAATTGTATTTCTTCCAAGGCTCAAAGAACTCGTGTTTTGAGTCTCTTTGTACATGAAGCAGAAAGCAGCGGGTATGATCCGAGGCTTAAGAACCTGACAATGTCTCTTTAAATAGAAGCTCTGCGAGGGGGATAATTGACTGAAGTGTTTGCCACGTTAAACGGCGGCGCGCGGGAGTCGCAAGCCCACACGAGCCACAGGTCCGGGTTTAAATTACATCAAACTCCGGTGAGAGCTGGAAGGGAGCTGTTCAACAGCTCCTGCTCCTTGCTGGGCCGTTAATGGAGGGCAGGGCGGATGATGGATGCTAGAGGTCGAGACCAAAGACCCCTGCCTCTGCCCCAATGCGTGGGACGCAGGCTCGGCCCAGCTTTATTACCTGGCAGATTAGTGAGTCAGAGGCGACCCCAGAGAGGTAGTTAAAGGCCCTTTGCCGGCCTGGTCCTTCGTCCCCTCCCTCCCCGCCCCCGTCCTCCTCTTTGTGCTGGCCTAGCGAGGGGCGACAGGGGCGTCTGGCGACTCTGGTGCCCTAGGACCCTGCGGAAGCGCGAGCACGTGTATCCGTGCGCCGAGCCTGCGGGGCGGCGGCGCGTGGGGCTTTTGTGGTGAACTCTGAAGGTTGAGCGTGCACCCCTTTATCCACTTGCGGTCAGGTCTTTTCAAGACGTCGATCTATTCGTCTTTGCAGAACGGAAGGTTTCTCACTAGTAACTCTAAGGGAACTGCCCAGAGAGAGAATGACCTGTACTGAGAAGTTGGGCCTGGAGGTGAAGGGTGGGTGACCAAGGGCGGGCCTTGTGTTGGTGTCAGACGCCTCCCAGATCCTTCCACCGGCGCAGTCAGCGAGGCCGCGGGGGCCCCTACACGGGACGCGATCTCTGGTGCCCCCTGGTGGCCACGCTGCGCTCTCCTTGCTGCGCCCTGGCTGGGCGTTCGGACTTCTGGTTATGTTTGGGATCATCGCTGTGTACTTCTCCCTCCGTGTGCATTTACCCATGGAATCCTCTTCCTCTTGTAGTATATTAAATCCGGATACTTGAAGTCATTTCACAGCAGTGAAATGAGGGACAATGAACAAAAAAACTCGCATTTGGAGTAGCAGGAGCCCAGACCCTTCACTAAGGACCCCAAGATCTTCCAAGTTAAGGCTCCGTGTCCTGAGAGCTCCTGCTGTCTTCTGAAGAACTGGAGCTCCCGACCCCTCCCTTATGATTTCTGAACCTTGGGACCTACCAATTATGCACTGTTTTCTTCTGATGAGATTTGCTTTCGTTTCTGAGGTTTCGCCCTTCCCCCTCTCCTCAGCCCCACTGTTTGGGCGGTGGGTAAACAATACCGAAGCGCGAGAGGACCTGGGGTTGGTGGGAGATATCTGGGCACCTCATGCGCAATTTTTTTTTTTTTTTTCTGATCCTTGCTTGCTCACTGAATCCCTTTCCAACTGTGTTTAACTTTCACGAAGTTTTTAATGGTGTAAGAATACAAGTATTTTGGCTTCTTCAAAACACAACGAGGTCTGGGTTGCACATTGTGTGGAAGGTGCTGTTATCTTTCAAGTGTGGCTGACATGGGGCTTTCTGATTGAATGTCACCTTGGGCCCTCTGTATGGGGTAAACAACCACCAGGGCTCCTCCCGGTGGAGTTGCCAACGACTTGGTGGTTGAAAGTGATGTTTCTAAAAAACCACAGCAGGTCTTTCCTGTCTGAACTGAATTGTGTGTTGAACTGACTTGGCGTTCTTGCAGATTTCTCACCAGCCCCAGCTCTGTGCAGAACGTAGACTTTCCGCCACGGGTCGGGTCGCTCTCCTGCACTTCCTCTCATTGTCAGCCCCAGGGCGTTGAGGCTGGGGTCCTCTCTAGCTCCCTCCACTTTACAAGAGACTTTTCTAAACATTTTGCTTTTCCAACTCTTATTGCTTTTGTCATTGTGAAGAGTCGCCTATGCCACTGGAGCTCAGTACTGAGATCAAGCTCAGAACTGGTCTGTGTGTGAGGCTACCTGATGTACGCACATGCTTTTGGAATGATGCTGTGTGGTGGAAGGACTATTAGAACTCAAAAGAATAGTTAATAAATCCAGTATTAGTCACTTGCAAGAACTGGCCTTTCTTTGCCCTGCCAACCACTCCTAACTGGGCTCCCTTTGGAGAGGTGGAAGGGCATGTTGCTTCCTACGAAGCTTCCACCCTCCATCAGCCTCCATCTCTGTCCCTCCCATGTGGCTGCCTCCTGAAGGGAAGACTCAGGTGCTGCTTCGGACTGAGCTGGTGGGACTGGGGCCCTCGGACCAGGGCAGCCATCTAGGTGGGAATGCTGTGGGGAGTGGGAGATCTATATGACTCTTTGCACCTGGTTAAGAGGTTTCCGTGAACCCTGGGTTAGGGGGTAGGATGAGATTTCAGGAAGGAAGTGCTGGAATCAGTGTCAGAGCTAGAAGTTTAAAGATAATTTCAGCTGCCTCCCCCACCCCCAGGACCAGAACCCAGGTTTCTTGATTTCTAGCCTCTACTGCTCTTTCACAACGCCTCACTGTCCCCCTCAGTTCTGAGAACCGAAACAGAGACTGCTTTCTCTTTGGAAGCAGTTCCAGCCTCTGACTTCGAGGAGAGCAGCCTCTGAAGGTAACAGGGGAGGTGAGATGCTGCTACAGAAAGTGGTCATCAGCCCTGGCGGCTGCCCCCAGGGCTCCTGTGCCAGCAAGCACAGCCCTCGCCCTGGCTTTCCCCGCTGGGCTCTTCTCCCCTGGGAAGGAGCCCTGTCTATTTCTCAGCTCTTTCAGTCCCAAGGGCCTTTTACTTCCTGTTTCCCTCTTTCTCTGCCCTCATTTCGGGTTCACAAGCCACCAGGGAGTTGGGTTTTTTGTGGACTAGAGTGACTGCTGGGGAGCTCACGTGGGGGAGGAGGGACGGCCACACCCACTCCAGGGTGTCCAGCTCGAAGACAGCCTGGCTCCATGCCCAGAGACAACAGGAAGCCCAGAGGTTTTGAACACTCAGTTTAATTTAAAACAGGCACAAGTGCAAACAATTCACAAAAGTTTCTAGGGAAGATGCTTTTGTTTTTAAAACTCTGACCCTTAAAAAAAGTCCTGGCAAATTTTTTTTTGCCCCAAAGCAGGCCACCAGGGAGCAGAGGAATCTAAAAATATTATCTAGAGAGGGTCTGGGCACCTGTAGTTCCTCCCTGGGGTTCCCTGCCTCGCCACAGCCCTGAAGGTGGGAGGGAAGGAGGACAAGGAGCCAGGTGTCTGAGGAGGCGGTGGGTGCAGATGGTTTGCACAAATGGGGTGCCCATTCTCTTGATGTGATGGAACCCCGGCAGCTGGGTCACCTCCCCCAGACCTGGATTTTGAAAAGAACGGGTCCCTGATGACCAGGTTATTGAGATGACACCCACAGGTAAAACAAAGTTTGTTCCCTCACCATTCTGGTCTCTGGCTCTCAGACTGCACAGTGCAGGAGAAACTCGGAAAGCTGCCAAGCCTGCAGGAGGTACGAGACTCAATACGGACCTCTTCACGGTCAGGTAGAAACACAGGACTTAAAAGGTGGGAAGCCAGGCCGAGAAAGCAGGTCCCCTCAGAGCAGGACTTAGTGGGAGGGAGGATGGGGAAGGCTTCCTGAAGCTGCCTGTGGGTGACCTGAAGGGAGCCAGGCTGTCGGGGTGACCTTCCTCCACTTACACATACGTGCACACACACACACACACACATCCACACATCCTAGAAAGGGAGACCACCTCTACCACCCACCCCATTCTTTCTCTTTCACCCAGAAAGTGCCCCTCCCCCTCCCATGGCCTACGAGCCGGCTGTTCACCATTCCGGCAGGCTGTGCAGGGAGAGTGTTGTCAGCCCAGGTGGGTCGGGAAGCAGGTGTGGGTGGGACCCTGCCTTCAGGAAGTCAGACACAAGGGCGGAAGATGGATTCAGGTGTTCAAACCCTTCCCTGTGGCCCTCTCGAGACCCCAGGGTTTGGAATTGGAGCTGAGAACAGCACGTATCCTGGTGAAGATAGACAGGCTGCCCTCTTGGGAGGCCTGGGATGCTAGTGTACAACTACCTTTAAAAACCACAGCAGCCTTTTCTGCTGTGTTGGCTGCCGTGGCCAGGAAGGCTGGTCTCTGCATTTCTTAGAAATATCCCTGTGCAAATAACAAAGGGGCATCCTGCAGAAGGGTCTTCATCATCCCAAAGGCAACTGGGGACTCACTGGGGAGGGAGAGAGACCGAGAGGGCAGGTCCGGCCTGGCCCAGTGGGCTGAAGGGCAGGAGGGCGGGGATGGGACTTCACATTCAATCTTTGGAGAGAATACTGAGAGAATGAGGCAGGCAGGCCCTGCTGGCAGGCTGGCTGCCCACTGTCCCCTGCCTGTGGGTGCAGGCGGCAGGCGCACTCTGTGGGTGGGCTCAGCAGGCAGAGGTCTGCTTGCGGTAGAGCTGGATCAGGGGCACCAGGCAATCGGGCAGCCCCGTCTGCAGCAGGAAGGGGTGGTCCAGGAGCTCCTGGGCGGTGGCCCTTTCCTGGGGGTCGCGTACCAGCATCCGTTCCAGGAAGTCTCGCAGCACGGGGGACACCTGGGGAGACAGGGCAGTGAGAGGAAGCCACGGTTTGCAGTCACTTTGGGGTGACCTATCTGCCTGGCCCCACCTTCATTTGGAAGTCTTAAATTCTCTCGTTTCTTACTTCCTTGTGCCTCCCAGGCTCAGTACTTTTGGATTGTCAGGGAGGTAAAGAAAGTCAGCATCAGTCCAGGGAAAGTGGCCAGTTCACCTCTAGGGGGTGCTTCTGAGCAAGGGAATTAGGATGCCTGGAGCCCTGGGGAGCTGGGCTCAAATATGGCTGGGTCCCCACCCTGCTCCTCAGGGCTCTCAGCGTTCAGGCCCCGCGGCTCTGTGGAAGGGACATGGGATTGGTATCAGTGATCCAGTCCTGGGTCTACCCCTGATCTTGGGCAAGTTGCAGTTTTCTCTAAACCTCAGTTTTCTCATCTGCAAAATGGGCTAAAGATAAAACGTGTTTGCCCTGTCTGCCACAAAGGCCTTTTTGTGAAGATTAAAAAAAGAGGTCAGAGATGAAGAAGTGTTTTGAAAAATAGAAAAGAATAAGGTGGGACCTGAAAAGGAAGATTTCTTTATTGCTCTAAGCCTTAGGGACTAAATCACTGGCTTATCTGGATTCATTTTGAGCCAGTATCTTGGGATGAGGCTGAGTCTTGGGCTGTTACAGAAGGCTCCATCCTCTGGGGAATTAGCCAGTTGGACATCTCCCCTATCTGCTAATCTTGGGGTCAGCAGTGCAAGCTCCAAGGACCAGTTGTCTTGAAAGGTCTTTCCTGTCTGTCCTCCCATCCAGCTGTGTTGGGGCTACAGAACTATTTTGCCATTCAAGGACTGGGCCTCAACCCTCTGGGACATTTCTCGCTCTGACCACCAGATGGCAGTACCACTTCGCAGCCCTGTGCTGACCTGGCCACCAGCAGGGGGTGACCACAGGCAAGGCCTGTGGTTTTAGGTGGATTTGGCAGAAAAGGGTTAAACACACACACACAGGTTTTAAGGGAAAAACTGGCTCCGATGTGGTGAAGACGTGCATTGATGGAGGATAAGCGAATTTGCTGCGATAGACTGGGAACAATGTGCCATGGTATGGCTCCCTGACAGATGGGGTGGAGGGGTTCCTGCTCAATTGGCTTCTTTGGGTTCCTCCCCAGGACATCGGGGATTCCTGACAGCCTTGCTTTCCCTTATCTTGGGCTCCTGTCAATTGCTTGCAGCTGGAAACTTTTCAGAGTGACCGTGGGAGTTTGTGGGTAGATGTGGCTTCACACCCAGGCGCAGGTTTTGTGTGGAGAAAGAGCAGTCTTTTTCTGGGAACGCAGACCCTCTGGCTTCTGTGAAAGGGAGAGGCTGGGCCTGGGAGCCCAGGCTCCGGTCCTCTAAGCCTCAGGAAGAATGGGGTCTGTGGGGTCACACTTTGTGCTCTGACTGACCTTGTGAGAGTTTTTCAGCTTGGGTGGAGGGCTGTCCCGGAGCCTCTTCATGGCTTGCACTGGTGAGTCGCTGAAGTACGGTGGCTCCCCGTCCACCATCTCAATCACCATGATGCCCAGAGACCAGATATCCACCTGCAGGAGGAGAACGTCCCTGATTCCACTGGCCAGAGTGTGGCCCCTTGGTAGCAGCGTACTGCAGGGGGAGGGGAGCAGCTGGTCCCAGCTCTCCTTGGTGAGTTAGCTTCCTTCCTGGCCACCTGCCCTGTGGTCAGTTATTTCCTGCATAAATGACCATTGACTGTAGGGACATAGCTGTCAGCCACTCTCTGAGAAACGCCATCACACATGGATAAGCCTGGCCGTATCCCATTCTGCCCTTGAGGTGAGGGAGGGCATTTTCAATACCAGTTTGTGGCAACCAAGTCACAGGAGAGAGCAGACCCATCCAAGAGGGGGCAGGGGGCAGTAGGCAGTGGGGTGGGGTCTTGACTGAGAACCAGGGCTATTTTTGGCAGGGGGCTCCAGAGGGGGCCACAAGTGGAAGAGCAGTGTACCCCCAAGCCTGCCCTGGGAGGACGAGGAGCTGAAGGGAACGGTTACCTCGGTCGCATACAAAGACCTGGAGATCACTTCAGGAGCCATCCAGTAGGGGGTTCCCACCAGGGACTTCCTCTTAGGGACATCTTTGCTGATCTGAGCACAAAATCCGAAGTCGGA